GACATGCGGAGGCCCGGCCTCTGCGCTCAGGCCGCGCGCGCAACGCGCCCCGCCGCGGCTGCCCCTGATGCTGGTACAGAGCTACAGAGCACTTTCGCAGCTTCCGCAGCTTCTCCCTGTTTGCGAACTTTGCAAAGGCTCAGACTCAGAGTCAGAGTCAGAGTCAGAGACTCGAGAAGGTTCAACTTTCATTGTCAAAATACATTCCAATGCCAATGGCGGCCACCACCCTCAACCGGGTTGCAACTTTCCCCTGGCTCCATTGTAAAGCAAACAGTACCACCCCTGCATCAACCTGCCTCACTCTAGTGCATCATCAAGTCTGCGCTAGGAATTTGCCAACTCCAGAGAGCACCCAATCGCGGCGGCCGTTTTTTGAGGGATCTTATCAATCGTTCTGCTCGTCCCGTGTTCTTACAACCATAGCGCACCCGCAAAGTAGCAGGGAAGTTTCACACGTGCGTGCAATTGCAAATGTTGAGGAGAGAGTGGATGCTGTGGCGAGCGAGGAACAAAAGAAGACGCTGATCAAGGTGTGCGGGGTGACTTGCCCCGAGGACGCAGTGGTGGCGGCTGAGGCGGGCGCTGACCTCATTGGAATGATTATGTGGTCGGGGTCCAAGCGCTATGTCACGGTTGAACAGGCAAGTGTTCTTTTCTGCTCTTTCATCCCTTCGAAGAAATGAATCTGTTTTCAACAGTGAACTTGGGAACTTTGGGAACTTGCAGCTCACCAGACGCGTCGCAGGCTGACATCATATGTAATTGTAGAACCTTGCACCTATTCCTGCTTGTTAAAGAAAGTCCAAAGCTGCAGCGGCTGGAACCCCCATCACTGCAAAGAAAATTGCGGTCTCCTTTCGTTAGGAGTCTTACTGCAGATGAGAAGAACTGCTTCCCTCAAACATGCCGGTGCTATCAACAGGCTAGGTTCCGTCATTCTTCTGTGCTCATGCAAACCATACTTCAATTTTCATTGTTTTGGGATCAACGTCTAAGCCGGTGCCTGGATAGGATTCAGGCCGTTGGAATTCTTATTTTCTGAACAATCTATGGTACGGAGACTGGTGATGAACATATGGCATCGGGAAGATTTAAGAGTGCTCCTGAACATTGCCCCCCTACATCACCATTGCAGGGGTCTTTCACCACTTTGAAACAGGGAGCTCCTTGTAATCGAACATTTCCTTGAGTCTTTTATTCAACAGACTTGGGACTGGCAACCAGTCCATCTTCTTCTGACCCTTCTGAGTGATTGCCTCTCGGTCTTCTTTCTCACATCTCCAAGTGATTGCTTACTTGTGTAGTGTCCTCCTTCAGTTCTTGCCCTCGAGGTTTCCCCATAGGAGTCTTTCCACTCTCTGGTTATGGTAGCAGCTCAATCTCATACCCTGCCAGAAAGTGAATTTGGTTTGTAACATGTCATTGAGCTCTGCTTTTTGAGGATCTTTTGAATTTATTGAGGATCTCATATTGGCACTTTCCCCTTGCAGGCAGCTCAGATTTCGGCAGCTGCAAGGAAACATGGCGCCGAACCCGTCGCCGTCTTCGTCGACGGCACCGCCGCTGAAATCATCGACGCTTGCACGGCCGCTGACATCAGCATCGCGCAGCTACACGGGGACGAGGCGCGGGCCGCGCTCGAAGAACTCCCTCCGAAACTGAAAGTAGTGTATGTTCTGCACGCGGAAGCGGACGGCACAATTCGAACGCCGCTGCCGGCGTCTTCGGACGCAAAGGCTTCAAACTCGACAGCATTAGAGTCCAACCTAGTTCGGGCAAGGTTGCCCGTGGAGTCAGGGGCTACTATTCTTGACCCGCAGCCAAAAATTTTGGAGGGGGAAGTCCGCAAGAGGCTCTCTGATCCGGGCGCAGATTCGGAGGATAATGCGAGATCAGGAATTGACCGGATGCATGCTGAGGCATCGGGAGCAGAGGCGAGATCAGAAACGGGTGGGAATGAAAGTCGAGATTCTGCTAGCCGGGGAGCTGAAGTGACTTCAAGTAGAGCAGCAACCGTTGAGTGGCTGTTAGTTGATGGAGTATCAGCCGGCAGCGGAGAAACTTACGACTGGACAAACCTGCGGTTACCGCAGGGTTTGAGTAAACGGGGCTGGTTGTTGGCCGGGGGTTTAGACCCGACCAATGTTGCTGCGGCTTTGGGGGCCGCTCAACCGGACGGGGTAGATGTGGCGAGTGGAGTGGCGGGATTGGATAAGATCAGGAAGGATAAAGCAAGGGTCGAGGCTTTCATCCAAGCTGTCAAGTTGGTGGCGATTTCGACCACATAGCAAAGATTATTGCGATTTGCAGCAAGCAGCTGCCCCGTGGGCAATCGGACAGCTCTTCCAAGGAAGTTTCTTCTATAAACCAAAAACAATTTTTATAACACAATGTTGTCAATCAATCTTATCAGTGTTGTCCGCTGGGCCCACCGTGACGTTATCCACCAAGGCAACATCATATGTGCGACAGCAGTGACCGCGCCGCGCTACGTCTGTGCAAAAAATAAACGTGAGACTGTCCGAACATGATTCGATATAAACCCATATTTTGACCTGGCTGGCATGTGATTGTAAGCCCGAAGCTATAGTCAATTTATGAACGGTTGAGTTCATGCATCTATACACATTTCAATTTTCAGTCCACCCGGACAAATAGCAATTCTGACATTGCCTATAGGTATACCATTGAACGCTGCGCAGTATCGATGTCGACTTGGGGGCTCCACATCTAGCTGACCGGCCTGCATGCTTGTGTACATATATAACGTTATTGATTGTTTAAGTTGGGGCCGGCATGCCAGCGAAAAGCCTGTGATTGAGCAATCCTGGCAACTGGAGCCTGTGACAACACTTGTCAACTGATTGCATACATGATCATCGAACCGGCGAGAAGAGCTTAAAGGGAAGTCTACAAGCATGTGCAGCGGTGAGCAAGTCGGATAGATGAACAGTTCCGAGTGCCCTTTACATTCGTGAGAGCAATTGATCTGTGGATTTCTACAAACCAGCTAGGTCTTTCGTACACTACAATCCGCTATGAATTTTAGGTAAGCTGGCATTTTCTTTATGTATATTGTGCTGGTGTCGCGTAAGAACGCCCAATAGTTCGAAGAAGAATGTCGATCGGGTCATTGAATGGGACTGCTTATTGCAGCTCCACCGGACCATGCCCCCACCTTACTATCCTGCGGTCAGCATACTTCTAGTGGTGTCGACAGACACAGTTTGGGGACACTAAGTATAGCATCAACACGCAATTTATATGCCTTATGTGAATCTTTTAGAATTGCCACTTGTACTGGTTTAACGCTTCATACACCACTCTTACTTCCGACGAAGAAACTTGACGCTGCATTGACGCCACATACTGGCAAACCCTGACCCTTCGCAGACACCCATCAGAGAGTGGACGAGTCATACGAGGCGTCTAGGGCCGCTAGCAATCGACGATGTAAAAATGGATTGCTGCTCGCGATGATTCCTCGGTCCAAGCCCATGAGGAACCGCCCCCGCGAAAAGTCGAGCGGTCGGCCCCCAGCGTCCGTCACAACACCCCCGGCCTCTTCGACGATAAAGCAGCCGGCTGCATGGTCCCAAATCTGGAAAACCGGCATGGCGAAGTTCTAAAAGAGATGATTTTACGTCGTTCTGTCTGCAAACGACCACTTCACAAGCCTTTTGGTGAACCGGTTTCAAGTCAAGCATTAATGCCGTCGGTTATCACAGACCCAATAGGAACTAGAGATCAGAAGAAAGTTCTGGATACCCCCTTTTCGCAGCTGAGGTCTGCTCGATCAGACTTGCTTGCTAAGTGCGGCGAAAAAACAGACAGTGGCGTTTGGATGCAATAAACCCTTGCAGTCCACGTGTCTTTTGAAGCATTTCAAACGTTCCTTTTATGCGACTTCTCAACCGCTGTCTATGCAAACATACTTCTCTAGAATAGGTTTAGTAAGCTCAAGTTTAATAAGAACGAAGCTTGCACAAAAACCTAAACCGGAATAATCACCCGCTCCGCACCCATACCCACCCTAACCACCATATTAACCCTACCCGTCCCACTTCTAAAACTTGAGCTCACTAATCGCAATCTATAGAACAATCATGCAAACGACTGGTGGGATGCCCGAGATCTGACACAAAGCCACCGAAAGTCAGAACACCATCCGCCCACCTTCTCTTTGTAGTCCCCTCGTGCAAACTTCATGAAGATCTCCGCATCCCCCTTCGCCAGCATCCCATATTTCGCCATGCTATAAGCGCGCAGCGGCGCCGTGCTTATCCCCAAACCCTGTGCTAACCCCGCGGTTAGGCTCTGGTTAGAGTTCGCTTTCTCGACCGGTTCGCAGAAGGTCGCCTGCGCAGGGTCCGTGACTGGCGAAACGAATGCGCGCATTGCTTGGGCGCGCACGCTCTCGAGGGTGACGTCAGCGGAAATGAGGGGCTCCGCCCAGGCGCCATCGCCGCCCTTACGAGCCCGGAACACTATGCCCTGCAATGCGGGGTTAAGCTTCATCACTAAAGCGGGGTAAAATAAATCTCTTCTTGACTTTTGAAGGAGACCGCATGATTTTCATCCAAACAATTTCCGGTCGCTGTTTCGGTATTCTTAGACATAAAAAGGTTCAGTGCTGAACGGCTGTTTCGTTAGAATCTACATCACACAACTCGGTTGGAAACAGTCAGCATCTCCGCAAACCTGTTGCCTCGACACATCACTTTTCAACAGCCTTGAGGGATCGGTCGTGACATGAGAGATTGTAGGAATGGAAAGTCGCAAGTTGATTACCAAAGAGCCGGTTGCTCAAGCATGACTTTGATTTGCACTTGTCGCTTCTCATTGGAGCTTCGGCTAGTGGAGGCGAGTGGCATAAGTCGCCCGCTTGAGCAAGACTTTGATTTGCACTTGTCGCTTCTCATTGGAGCTTCGGCTAGTGGAGGCGAGTGGCATAAGTCGCCCGCAGAAGTCATTTCAGCAGATTACGTTGCCGTTTTACGTTGGCACCCCGTCACCAAATGAAACCCCCTCGCAGCTTCCGCCTGCCGACGACAAATCTGGACGAGCAATCAACGAAAAAAGTGCGCCGAATTGCTGTGGTATAAGAGTATGATAAAACAAATGGTCCATGTTGGAGAAGTCATCAAAAGCGGACGGGTCTGCTCTCAATCCCGTCGGATCGTGACCGTCCAACAAACGATCGCCCAACCGAATTGATGACACAAAGCCATGCAGCTGTTTGCGCATTTAACTTGTCCCCCTCGAAAATCTGACTCTCGCCGACAAAACCCTTTTCGCTTGAGAAAACCAGCTAATCGAATTTTGCACCGTAAGAAAGGCTCGCGGCATTAGGGGAGGTCAGCAACATTGACGCAAACAACTGTAATGCAAGCGGTGAACGAGCTAAACGGAGCCCAAACCCCCCACCTTGTGCCACAACCCCTTCTCCGGCGGGAAGAACGCCTCCGCGGCCCGGTAAAACCGGTGCCCGTACCGCATCCACTCCTTCCGCAGCGGCAGGTTCGGACACCCCAACACGCCCAGAACCACTTCCCCCTGATCCACCAACGCCAAAGCCACCGCATACTGGTCCCCCCTCACAAATCCGAGCGTCCCATCTACCGGGTCCAGAACCCAGAACCGCCCCTTCTTCCCCCCTTCGTGCGCTCCCCGGTTGATCGCTTTTAGGACGTCGATTGTGGAGAGGGGTTCCGAGGGCACGGGAAGACCGACGAGGGGCGAGTTCGATAGGCAGTCATTCACGGCGTCAACAACTTTGCGGAGAGTGGGCATCTCCTCGCGGCCTCGGAGGGCTTCAGAGGATTCTTCGGCGACCATTGAGAGCGGCTCTTGGGGAAAGGCCTCGGAGAGGATGTAGCTGATGACGGCCTGGACTCCATAGTCTGCAAAAGAGGATCGGTTTTGGATTTCAGTCTACCTGTTTGGCAACGCAGATTCGTAAGTACTCGTTGAACGGGGTGCTCGAAGCAGGATGGGGCTGTGGACACGTCTGCAAACAAGGTCCATGACCATTGGGAGCGGGTCCCGTGGAAAAGGCCTCGAAGAGGCTGTAGCTGACCACAGCCTGGACACCGTAATCTCCGAGAGGACTGAGTTTGTGTCTCAGATTAGAAGTAGCCTGCCTGCTCTCCTGCTGCAGTTTCAACGGACTTTTGAGAAACAGTTTGCGGGTGTGGACAGGTCTGAAAACAAGACTCGTGAGCAGACTGTCAATGAAACTCTTGTAAGCTTTTGAGGCGGAGGAGGTTTCCGAGAAGGTGAGCAACAAAGTTCCAAGCGAAAACCACATGGACCATGACGGAATCTTGGAACGAGGTGGTGAATGAGCTGGATAGGGAAGAATGTTTTGTGAGCGACTCAAAGCAAACAACTACCACTGGTACTTGAGCTCATTGACGATTACAGAATGGAATTCATCCTATCTAATCATCCTCGCTCAGGATGATTCCCTCACATCCCACTTGCCCAAGTTGAAAGCTTGCAGCGATGTGAACACCGCCGACACCAACTGAGCGCCGCTTCGTCAGAGATCTGCTTTCAGGAGAAAGTAGGTTGCTGAAGCGGTTACATGCACTTTCAAAAGAAGTAGGAAGAGCCCTCACCAGCGATTGTAACCAGGGACTGGTCCTTCTTCAGCTTTGCTTGCTCTCGATCCCGCAGGATGTCTCTCTGAATCCGCTGACTCAGCAAGCACGCGAGGTGGACTGCGTACGTTGCCACCTGGCAGGCCAAAAACTCAACTTTCAAAAATTTTAGGCGTGGCTTTGGCTCAAGTTGTCGAGGATTGAACAAAACAGAACTTGCATATTTTTTCAGCCTTTAGATTGAGACTCCATTGAGTTTCCTCAGGCTTGCAGAATCCTTTGGGGCACGTGAAGAGCAAACATAATGCAAGTCCAAGCCGCTGGTTGGGAAATCAGCTGTTGTTCTGCTGTGCGCGGTGTCACCCACTATCTCAATACGTCGACATAACATTCGATCAACATCTGCAACCAAAGATTCAGGGCTACACAACGAGGGGAATTGCAGGTAGGAGCAGAAGGAGGGGCTCGAATACTTGTTGCAATTGTCACCAGCAATCGCCCAAAAGGCACAGTCGTAGCACTTGTCTCAGATGTTCGACAGTGATTGGCGTTCTGCATTCAGTGACAAGCTGTGCTGATCCTGCGGACGGCTGTTTCAATTGAGATTCACAATGCTGATCCATCATTTGGTCGGATCATGAACGAAACCGAAAACAAGACAGGTTTGTGTGCGCATGACATGATCTATGATGATGTCCCGAGAGTGACTGTTTTGTGTCACAGCTTGTGCACTGCTCTTACCTCCAGTTCCCTTACATATTCTTGATCCCCCCGACTCAACCCTCTCTCGTCCGCTTCCCTAACAGAAAATTCTGCTGACGTTGTAGTCCCTGGCTCCTTCGTAGGATCTTCCCTCTCACTTCTCGCATTGCTGGAGCTCTCTGCTTCCGGATATGTCGGGTCAGCTTCAAGCTCCTGTGACGTGATCCCCCGACCATTTGATTCTGACTCAGACTGCGACGTTGAGGCTGCTTCCTCTACTTGTCTGGGTGGCAAAGCGTTGGCGGCTTCAGTGTCTGGCACCGCAGAGTCCGAGGAAGCTGCAGCATTGTCCTGTATCAGGACAGAGTCTACGGGGCTTTGTTGTGCTTGGGCGGTTCTGGGCCCCGTACCCTTCTGTGTTTGCTGTGGATTGCTACCCTGGGCACTTCCAAACTTTGGATTCCTCCACCCACATTCTGCAGATCTAAGATCACCAGAGGAATTCCAGTAGCTCCTGACGCTGCCCAAAACAGGGTCTAAACGCGGGGTTTGCTTGCAGGAGTTTGCTAGTTTCCTGCTCCTTTGCGCCACGTTTTGGGAGAGAAAGCCTGTTTTAGTTCGCCCTAAAACTAAACCGCTGCTTGCAAACCCTGATCGGGTGCCCCGGACTTGCCCCACAACTTTCCGATTGAATGCTGTGCTCAGTGTGGATGCATCCGCAAAGTCTAGTTTGCCTATCAGGCAGCGCTCCCTCAACAGCACCCTCATTGTGAGGGCCCTGTGGAATTGCACCACAGATCTAAAAGAAGGAATGGATCAGATCCTGCCTCGATATCCGAGGCAGAGGTAAAAGGGTTTAAGCAATACCTAGTACGTCAAACAAAAGGAGCCTGGAATATACACCAGCTGTACTGCAAGCTCGCCACCGACTTCATGACCTAAAGGAGAAGGAAAACTTTGCGGCGGTGAGGGGTTTCCACAAAGCCCAATGAGATCAGGCGTAATGCTCGCTAAGGTGAGCTGCCCTGATGTTGACTGGCGCTGCTGCCAGCCTGCTGCGAGGAAGGCTGAATGAAGAGGAAAGCCAGCGATGCAGCATGGTGAAACTTGAACTTGAGTTTGACAAGTTGAAGCTTCGAAACGGATGCACTGCATCTATGCAGCATGACATCACCTCCCGCCAAAATTTGAATCTTGAAGCTTGCTAGCGCACTGCAGCAGGACAACAGCTGGTGATACAGCCTACAGGGGCTGTAGCTAGGGGCAGTGATCAGCGTTGCAGAACGTCTTACTAAGGGCGCTTCAATGTTCACAAAGAGGGTCAGATGCAGACGGCTTGTTGCTTGGTCGCATCTAGCTGCTGATGTCAACCAAGACGTACAGCAAAGCAGCGGAGAGCACAAGGAGTGAGCAAAATGGCACAACGATCCATGCTGTCTTTCCTGTCCAAAAAACCCACGGAACATGGTGGTGAAGAAGGGAGGAAGCGAAAGCGGCGCGAGGACGACGAGCCTAAGTTGACCGTGACGATGCAGGCAATTGCGTGGGATGCTGGGGTGCAAAGGAAGGAAAGCGGGACTCTTTTTGGACCTAATGGTCAGGCCCACGCCCAACCAGGCCAGAAGTCTAGTGCAAGGGGAAAGGAAGTAGAGCCTGATTCCCCAGCTTTGTTTGACGGGGTTGGTTCTGGACTAAAGCCAGCGGGTGAAAGTCAGGAAAATGGTGGGGAGGTACTGCATGTGTACAAGAAGAGACCCAGGAGCAGTAAGGCGGGATCTGATGCAGGAGAAGATGGCGCAGCAGCTGTGGGAGTGGTAGAAGGGAATGCAGAGATTGATGAGAAGGAGAGGTTGAGGAAGAGGAATCGGTTGTTGCAGTCAGTGGGGGCGGATGATTGCGCTGGCCCGCAGCAAAGCGCGGCGTGGCAAGAGGCGGCTGCCAGGTTTGACTGGCTGGACCCAGGTATGGAATAGACACTGTTAGGGTTTTCAAATTTGATGCCCAAGGTCCTTGAGAAGAAAAGATATGTTGCTCAGCGAAACCTTTGCAATCGAATGGTGCATTAGCAAGGCAACTGAAAATCTCAATCTAGTCACAGAATTGCTAGTCCAGCTCCAAGGCTTCTATGAATTTCAACGGTTTTTACTGGCTGGATCTAAGATCAGATAGACGGTCCAGAGTGTCGAGGTCATTCCCCTTTCGAGAATCAAGGCATTCCAGTTTGAGATACCTGTGCAAGTAAGTATGCAGTACCAAGACATTCTGCTACCAGTAATGCTGTCCATACTGTTCAGACAAACTTTCAATAATTCGAAGAGACACTGTAGAATGCTGCATCTGGCCTCAGCGATGCCTAACTGCGAGTGTTTCTCTTTTTGAGCCTCCTGGACTGATTTGTTCGTTGATTGTTATTTTCGCACACGGTTCATATCCCCAGAGTCTTTCCCTCGCTTTCATGAGCACTCCAATGACTGCTGTTGAAACCATATTTGTTGAGAAGCCTTCATTCAAGGGGCTTTGAGGCTTTCAATGAAGGTGTCCCACACAGCTCTGGGCATGCTCCACCTAAAGTGCATTCTGGAATGTTGCATTTGCAGGCAAGATCCGGGACAAGCAGAACCGGCGACCCGACCACCCTGACTATGATGCACGCACTGTCAGAGTGCCTGACTCAGTGATGCTCAGGCTGTCTGGCACTCAGAAGGAATACTGGAAGATCAAGCAGGACTACATGGACATTGTGCTCTTCTTTAAGGTCGGGAGCTTCTACGAGCTGTATGAGCTGGATGCGGAGATTGGAATCAAGGAGTTTGGCTGGAAGTTGACCCTGAGCGGTGTTGGCAAGTGCAGACAGGTTGGTATCTCAGGCTTGCTGAGTTTGTGACACTCTGCCCACGGAATGGCCCTTGGCTTTAGGGCGTTTCAATTTGTTGACCTGTATTCTTGTTGAAGGTAAGATTGGCAGATCGAGCTGAGCACGTGCAGAAAGTTCTGGCAATCACAGCCTGAGCATTTTATCAGTTTCATATCACCAGACTACATTGAGGACTTGAACTTATGGTCTTCTTTTCTACAACCTTTTCTCAGTCAATTCACCCAGTGAAGACCAATTTACAGGCAGCCGTGGTAACCTCTTTAAAGTCCACCATCACTATGTTGAATTTCAAACGCAACAGATGAGGCAGGTTTCGTGTTCATCAAACACATCATCCAGATGCCCGGTAAACAGGAGAAAAAGCAGTCACCTTTTGAATGACTTTTTGTTGATGCTTTCCGGGGTCCCTTTTATGCGAACAGATCTAGACACAGGGAGACAAGTGCACCTAACTCAGGCGTTTGTACAGGTCGGTGTCCCGGCTTCCGGCGTCGACGACGCATGCCGCAAGCTGGTCGCCCGTGGCTACAAAGTAGGACGCGTCGAGCAAACCGAGACCGGCGCTGAGGCCAAAGCCAAGCGAGGCCCCTCTGCGATGGTCCAGCGGAAACTGCTGAAAGTGGAGTCCCCCGCACTTTTGGTGGATGAGATCCGGCAACCAGAGGCGGTCCACTTGCTGGCGCTGAGGGAACTAGAGTTGGGAGACCAGGGAAGGGCAGTTGAGGCAGGGGAGAGGGAGCAAGTTGTAATCGGGTTTGCATTTGTGGACGCGGCGGCCGGGAGGTTTTACGTGGGGGAGGTGCGGGACGATTCGTCTAGGTCGGCGCTGGGGGCTCTGCTGGCACAGGTGAGGGGACGTGTCTGCACAGATCTCTTTCTCGAAGTGATGCTAAAGCAGCAAAGGCAGAGATACTTAGACACATGCCATTGGAGAGTGTGCAATTCGGGTGAACAAGGCACGCCCTTCGCAGAAGAAAAGCGGACTGGTGTTTTGTAACGTTAAGTTGAGTCTTGGCGAGAGCTGGGCGTTGCTTGGGCCCCCGTGTGCCATCTCGACCCTTCTTCTTCTTCCTCAATAGGGCCCCTTGTCAATCTACCTCTGCCGTGTTTGGCTGGCCTTATGAGAACTTAGACAGACTTCATGACAAAAACCTTCTCTCGAAATCCCTTGCGTTGACCGTACCTGTGAGGCCGCCTGCAGATTTTTGTAAGTAATGAGTTGAGAACATAATTGCAATTTACAGATCGTCCGTTTGTTTTGTTTCTAAGGAACTTTGTAATGCCAACGGTTCCCAGTCTACTTCTGGAAAATACCTGTGCAGTCATACAGTGCACTTGATTCTAACTTTCTTCGGAGTAGCTTACCGCTGGGAGGGGTATTTTTTGCATTTGTTAGTCACATCCTTCTCTTCAGTATGTCCTCTACTGCTTAAGCTAACTTGTCTATTGCTTTAGCTAACTTGTCTTCCGCATTAATCCAGATTGCGCCCCAAGAGATTGTGCACGAGCGGCACGGCCTGACTGCAGCAACCCGCAAGCTGCTCAAGCGCGCCCCCATCCCTGGAAGCCTTCCGCTGCAACTCACGCCCCTCGACTCGGGGGCTGAGTTCCTCGAACCCCCTGCGGCGCTTGCTGAGATTGCATCGAAGGCTTACTTCGGGTACAGCCAAGCAGGGACTCCGTCCAAAACGCACGAATCGGGGAGCAGAGGCCCTTTGGCTGAAGCTCATGGGGGGGGAGATGAGCAAGATCCGGCGGGAAGTAGCGGACTTGAGGAGCGATCGAGTGGGACAAGGATCGATCCGGACGCAGAAGCGCTGCTGTCCGGAAACGGTCCGAGCGTGTCCGCACTCTGGGCGCTCATCTGCCACCTGCGCCGGCTCAAAGTGGCCGCCGAGATGCTGCCACGTGGCGAGCTGTCGTCGTACGCGGTGTACCGGGGATCCCTCCGCCTGGACGGCCAAACGCTGCAGAACCTCGAGCTGCTGCAAAATGCTGCGGACGGCGGCCGGGCGGGGACGCTTCTCGCGAATTTAGACAGCTGCGTGACCGCGCAGGGGAAGCGGCTCCTGCGCCGTTGGATCTGCCATCCGAGCAGATCGACGGCCCAGATCGTGTCCCGGCAGGACGGGGTGGAGGAGCTGGTGGCGAGGCCGGAGCTAGCACGGGCTGTGCGGGAAGAGCTAAGGAAGCTGCCGGATCTGGAGAGGTTGCTTGGGAGGGTTAAGGCAATGGCGTCGGCGCCAGCTGCAATATCGTACTTTGCGGCGCAGACGCACCAGAAACATGTAAGAAAGTCTTCTGTTTTGTAAGTTGACTTTGGTATCTGGCTCGAGCCCGTTCGACGGATTGCGAATGTCAGTCTGTCGATCTCGGGCGAGTGCCTTTTGCAGACTACTCAGGGGCTGTTAACCCTTGCACTGGCGGGATTGTATATTCAACCTCCACGAACGAAGCTCGAGCCACTGCTCGTACGAGCTGTTCAAAGTAGGCTGAATCTGCTTGCACAACGGTGTGATGCTGTAAAACGAAGTTCCCGGTCATAAGAACGCAAGTCTCTGTTGCGAACGATTTCAGGATTGTGTCTGTCTGACAGTGGGGTTTAAAGCTTGGCCGCCTGGAAATGTATGCAACTTGACATGCACGGACAACGATACGGACCGACCTAAGAGCAGCGCTTCATTGCCTGCGTTTACTTGCTTGACGGACGTTGAACACTCTGGAGTCTTTATGGGGTTTGTCTGTTACCTTTGGTGCCTTTTTCTTTCTTGACAGACGACTCGTGCGAAACGGATGAGGCACTACGTCGGGGCTTAGCCGAGGGCGATGTTAGAGGGACGAAATGCCGCTGGAGTAAACAACTCCGTGCCCTTGCCTTCGCACCTTCCCTGAACATTTTTTGCGTTCCTCTTCCAGGTCTCCACTTTCTGCGCCACCCTGGGCGGCCTTCAGCAAGCCTGTGCGGCGCTGACGTCACTCCACGCCCTACCGGACTCTGCTCGCGTCATCCTCAAGCCGTTCATTAGACCGGAAGAAGTCCGGCTCGTCTCCGAGTCCTTCGACGAGCTGACGTCATTCTTCGACTGGCCCAAGCCCGGTGCAAAAGACCGCGCCCCGAAGCTGAACCTCAAGCGGGCGGAGGACAGTTCGTCCGGTAAGGCGGCGCCCGAAACTTCGGCGGGAAAGCGAGCGTCCAAAAAGGGGAAGAAGGCAAAGGCGGAAGACGACGAAGATCCTCTCGGCAGAGAAGTGAAGGCGCTCTCGAGAATAGTCGAAGTTTTCGCGGACCGGAGGCTTGCCACGTGGGGTTCGCTGATTGGCGAGGCCCTGGCCCGGGTCGACGTTCTTGTCGCGTTCGCAGCTGCGGCCATGGCGGCAGACGGGCCCACGTGTCGCCCTGTCTTCGTGGACAAAACCGCACCGGATTTTGCGCCACATTGTGCGCCGGCATCTGAGCGGGGCAGCGCCGCCGGGCTCGGGCCGAGCCTGGCAACGCCCTCGCCTTCGCCCAGGCGGACGGGCGCACCCCCCGAGAGGGATCCCTCTGCGGGAGGTGACGTCAGCGGGCGAGAATCAATCGGGGACGGGTTGCCGGAGGAGTGTCAGACGCCTGTTTCGGAGAGCGGATCAGAGCGTCCGAATGGCGGCGCCGTGTTGCAGATTGAGGGTCTGTGGCACCCGTATGCGATTGGGGGCGGTGGGGGCACGTTTGTGCCGAACGATCTGACTCTCGGGGGACCGAACTCTGGCGCCGACTTGGATACTTCACAGCCACGTGGCACGCTCTCGGCGAGCCCACGTGGCATGCTCCTGACGGGCCCCAACATGGGCGGCAAGTCGACGCTGCTGCGCGCCACGTGCCTAGCCGTCATCATGGCGCAGCTCGGGTGCCGCGTCCCGGCGGAGAAATGCTCGCTCTCCCTAGTTGACACGATCTTCACGCGGCTCGGCGCGAGCGACCGGATCTTTTCGGGCGAGAGCACGTTTCTGGTGGAGTGCAGCGAGGCGGCCAGCGTGCTGCGGCACGCGACGGCGGACTCGCTGGTCGTATTGGACGAGCTCGGCCGCGGGACGTCCACGTTTGACGGCTATTCCATAGCGTATGCGGTGAGTGGGTCCTTATGGACCGTTGCTGCGCTGCTCAGGCCGGACCGGAGTTCCGAGCCTATCGCTCTTCACCGGATCTGTGAAGACTGTACTTTTCAGGAGGGATTTTTGGAGCACAGAAGCTTTGCAAGCTGAGGTCGGAACGGACGGGCTTCATAGCAGCTTACTTGACTATTCACTAGGTCAGATACTTGCAACCTTACCCGTATCCAGTTTTGTGGTATTTCAGTGCTTCGTGCGTCTGTCCGATGCATACCGCCAGTGTCCTTGCAGGGACCCGCAAGACTCTCGTTTCATTCTGAATCTGGCTCAAACAATCTGAATCAACCCAGGCACTCAGCAGAGACCACGATCACTTCGAAACGTGCCCTTTCGTGCAGGTGTCTTCAACGTGACAAAGACCCTCTTGTCTGAATCCCGCCCCCTATCGTCCTACCTGTTGCTTGGTTTTTCCGGGCCGATCCCGTCCCGACTGAAAACTACACCACAAGCATTTCCGGTACTCTCGTCGAATGAAATTCCTGACTCCTATCAGAAACACACGGCTGAAAAAGCATTCAAAACACATTGCAGGTCCTGAAGCACCTGAGCGAGGCGCTGGACTGCCGCCTGCTCTTCGCCACGCACTACCACCCCCTCACCGCCGAGTTCGCCTCCAGTCCCCGCATCACGCTCGCCCACATGGCCTGCCAAATGCTTCTCGACGGAGCGCCCAGCAAAACCCCCCGCGGTGACGCCGAAACGCTTGCTGACGTCAGCGCACTCAGTGATCGCCACGTGTCGCTACCAGAGGCGGACGACGACAACCTGCAGAAGGAGGGGCAGCTGGTGTTCCTGTACAAGCTGCGGCCGGGCCCGTGTCCAAAATCGTACGGCCTCCAGGTTGCCACGTTGGCAGGGATCCCGCGGTCAATTGTCCGAGCAGCCGCAGCGGCGGCCCGGGTGATGGAGTCGAAACTAGACAGGGCGTTCAGCGGAGCCGGCAGGCGGGGGCTGGAGTTGCCATGCCGGAAAGAGTCGGCCTCGGAAGACGGGTGTTTCGGACGGCCTTCGGACAGCAGTGGTCGTCTTGATTCAGCAGAGGACGGGTCAGCGAAAGAAGATGCCGGTTGTGAGAATCTGACGGGAAGCGAGCTGCGTATCGCCCGAACACTGCTTAGGCAAGGTCTAAGTGGCGGCATTGGATCCATGTTAGGGTCCCGGGCGGATGAGGAGTCAGCACACGGAAGTCTCGTCCAGACGTGGCAGGAATTGCAGGCCCAGTAAAGACGACTCTTCCACGCATCTTGCTAAAAAAACAGATTTGTGAATTATTACTAAGGGTGCAGGCTGTTGTGCGGTCTCGTTAAAATGGTCTTCAAATCTTGTAGAACTCACGGCACGCATGAGACTGATATTTCAGTGAGCGGGAGCCCCAGATGCAGCAAGTAAGCGTACATGACCTCCATCATGGCCTGAACATGGAATGCAAGCGAGCAACTTGCTTGCAGAGAAACAACGTTCTTAAATGTTCTCTCGCCATAGAGGGAGTTATTGGTAGGTACGACATCGATGCAGGGTGCTCGGACTAGGCGATACTCACTGATCAGTTTCACCACTCGACCCATGGGCACTCCCGAAGGTATCTTCTCAACATCGAGAGTCTCATCCCCTTCATTAATTGAGTTGTTGAGCTGTTTGAGACAAGTCTCGGTCCTAGTAGGGATAAGTGTACCATTAGTGAACTATAATATATCTTGCTCGAATGGATGTTAAAAAAGATGGCAATTAATGATCGACGAATTCTCGCTTGATTAGTACGTGTTGGTGCTATTGTCGCCAGAGCCTGAATGCAGCAATCTGGGGTACTAATTATAACACGTCACTGATCGTGCCGACCGTCACATCTGTGTAGATCATACGTACCACGTGATCCACCATCATTGTGTGTTACGTACCAACGAGTTAAGTCCGACTCATTGAATGCATGATACAAGGTCAAAAGCTTGATTAATGTACGTTGCCTATCTCATGCAACCATCGCAGTACGCAACGAGCTGCTGACACCAAGCTAGACTCACGTACACTCGATCAAACCTTTAAAAGCGACCCAATACTTTTAGTACATCACGACGTTTGTCTCAGCCTCGGCAGCTTGAGGTGGACCTGGCATCATCTTTTTCCTTACATCTACCAAATTTTTGATGCTTTGACGCAATATTCTTGGGCAACACTGTCAAAACCTGAATCTAGCAGAACATCTCCAAGGCCTCTTAGCTGAATTAATTGCATCATATTGGCTTGGAAGTCGTCGAGCTTTTCTTGACCTTTCAAGTTTGGAGGGTGATCACAAGCACGAGGGTGTGCTGACGCCATCATTGACCTCTCAAGTTGGAGAGTAATCACAAGCACGGGGGTGTGCTGACGCCATCATTGATCTCTCAAGTTGGAGAGTAATCAAAAGCACGAGGGTGTCATCATTGACCTCTCAAGTTGGAGAGTAATCAAAAGCACGAGGGTGTGCTGACGCCATCGATGACGATGTCAGGGCCGCACTGACCGGGGCAGCATCTCATGGTCACCCCGGCTGCGTTGCAGCACTTGTTCGGCAACGGTCCGAATGGGTCGCAAAAGTCGTTGGTGCAGCTCTGAAGCGGTCCTGCAAAAGGCAGCATCTTTGCGGGTCAGTGACCGAATTTGAGATAACAGAAAGTTAAGGGCGGCTGATGATGTGGAAAGTCCCCCCCGTTACTTTATTACGTCATGTATAGGTGACCACTGACAGTGTTGCTGATCAGTGCATGCGTAAGAGCGACGTCGCAAGCAATAACTGTCGGTGTTGTTTGCTCAGTTGTCCCATTAGCATACTGGCCGCATACCTGCCCCTTAGGTCCATCTAAGCTTCTGACAGCAATCGACTGGCCCGGTTTTCAGCTTTCTGATCTGATGACGTCATGAGCTACCGCCCTGAGGGTTCCTTATCGGTGCCAATATGCCTGTCACTCAGCTTCGAAGCCAGTTCGACCCCGCTCAAAAAAAGCCATCCGTGAGCCTGAGTCAAAAGCCGAAGCTTGGTCCGAAAGCGCAGATGAGAGCGAAGACGAAGTTTTTTGAAAGACGGGGAAACAGCATACCGTATGAGAAGAGCAAATGCATTACTCAGACGGCGTCTGCACTATTATTAACCGGCTCAGATTCACTATGGCAGCAAATCTGCCTGTACCTTGCACTTCGATAAGGAGCAAGTTTACAATCCTGAACGGTTATCAACCGACTAAACCGGACCTGTTGGAGCAGGAGTTGGCGCAGGGGTTGGAGCCGGAGTAGTAGGAGCCGGAGTAGTAGGAACCGGGGTGGTAGGAGCCGGGGTAGTGGGGACAGGCCCGGGGGTAGCGCCGCCGCTACCGAAGCCGAGGCATGTTGGGTTCGTGGTCCCGTCAGAGTTGGGCGTACTGGGGCCGCAGAGACCGGGGCAGCGGAGGCCGAGGGATCCCTCGGAGTTGCAGCACCGGTTGGGAGCGGAGCTGGCGGTGTCGCAGCGGTCGGCGCAGGTGGAGATAGGACCCGGGGTAGGAGCTGGGGTGGTGGGTACCGGGGTGGTCGGAGCCGGGGTGGTGGGAGCCGGGGTGGTGTGTACCGGGGTGGTGGGAGCCGGGGTGGTGGGAGCCGGGGTGGTGGGTACGGCCGGGGTGGTGGGTACGGCCGGGGTGGTGGGAACCGGGGTGGTGGGAACCGGGGTGGTGGGAGCCGGGGTGAAAGTCGTGGGCCCGGGGGTTGGTGCAATCACTGAGCACAAAGCAACGCAGTTGATCAGCTGCACTACCTAGGTCCACTAAAAGCATTGCATAAACATGGAACATGACCTACGCGTGGAGCAATTTAACAAAGACTGGCTTGAGATGGTTAGCCTGCGTCAGCTGAACAATTAGCGGCTGTCTGATCAAGTGAAGTTGTTGCATGTGCTTTAATCAGCAGTCATGATCGACAGGACGGATTTGATCTGCTTCAGTGGGGAAGGGAAATCGACGTCACGCTGAAGTCCAGAAAACGTCAGCCAAAACTCCCAGTGGGCGTGTTGCTTTCAAATGCTGCCACGTACGTTGATTGAAAGCTAGCTTGGGCTCACTTTTCTGCGGCATCGACATAGCTCAGAATCTGAGGAGCCCTTCATCCAAAAGCATGCCTGCAAAGCCTTCTGCTTGATGCCCAGATCACATGAGTTGCTAAACATTTGGAATCTGAGTTCCAAATGCCACGTCATATCAAGTAAGGTGCGAGCTCACCAATGCTCCTGCCCACAACGTAGACAACTGAGTCAAGTTCGAAGTCCAGTGCATCCGCTATGGCCAATCTGCATGTATGGAACACAGGAAGGTTTGGCGATATTAATCAGGTTTGATAACCAGACTTTAGTGTGGTTCTTTGACCAATAACCGCGTTAAGCCATGCTAAAGCCGTGATTAATACTGCTCGAGTCAGGTTATTGGACACTCAACCAGCACTGAACCAGCCCGTCACCAACTATTTTCAACCGCCAAAAGTCCCTCATGTGCCACGAAGCACGCAAGTGTTCCAGTGACTTCAGTACAGCCCAGTCAATTTCACCTTAGTGTTGGACCTGGATTAAAGAGAAGCAGGCAAGATTTAACTGCGGATGTCCACATTCACTGGCCGAGGAGTAGTAGACCTACGTAACATTGATTGAGTGCAAAGACATTCGAACTTCGGTCCGGCCGGGTTTACGTGCTGCAAGGTTAGTATATAGCGACCAACTCGTAACAGCCGGAGATTTGCTCCCCGTTCCTTCTTCGCTGCTTAGATAAAGATGACAACTTGGGCTCGCGCAAGAAGAGCCCAAACACTCTGAGGAGACATGATTGGAGGATTAGATTATTGGGCGTTCATTTACCTGATGTGTACAGTGTCTCCCATAGAGACGGAGATAGGAGCAGTTGTGAGAAGTCTCGTGTAGCCATCGTACGCAATGTGATGTGTGCTATTGTCAGCAAAGTTGTCCACATACTGTGCGGCATTGCTGTTAGGATTGACATTGTCGATGGATACGGCCTTTCCATCACTTGCCAGGGCCACGTTATCACGGGGTGTAAAGGCGCCGTTCCCCACTGTACCGAAAAGAGAGGCAGCAATCAGATTGGCAGAAAGATGGCTGAAAGCAAATTGTTGCAGACCAGAGGGCTTCTAAAAGGCAGATGATTCAGAAACGGAGGGCTAGATTGGAGCAGACAAAAGGAACACGTGATGTTGAAGAATGTTTGCTTGACAAAGCGGACGGGAAGCAGACAAAGTATAGGGGAGGAGAAGGCTAGAGAATAAGAGAGCAGTGAAAAGAGTAAAGCAGAGTAAGGGGGGGGGGGGAGAGAAGACAGCTTAGATGTGGGTAGTTAAGTAGAACCATTTTGCAGACGGGTGATTGGCAGGTTACTTTTGAGAGAAACAGAGCAAAGAAATCAGACCCATCCAGATCCAAGATGCAGGGCCCAACGTGACATGCTTCTTAAAGAATTTGTGCGCTGCAAATACTGCAGAGAGAAATGAAAAGCAACGTCATGGAGGCTGCAAGTTGAGAACTTGCCTTCGATCGTTGCAGATTGGGTTTCAAGTCCTTGTCCAATCAGCTTGAGGCAAGACTATTGGATATTAGAGTACAATCATTCAGAAGGGGGAATTGACATATAGCCACTCACAGCCTCTCATACTCACCTTGTAACCGAGAATCATCGAAATATGATTGGAACTCACCTTTCACAAAGAGCGCAAAGATGTCATTGAATGCGTCGACATACTCCAAGTACTCTTCCGACCCAAACACATATTGGAATGTGAGCTGGCCATTGCCTTGTGCGGTCCCTTTGAAGTCCAGGATCGAGGCATCATTGGTCGTGCCATTGTTGATCTGGCTCAACAATGAGTCTCCAGGTTCGCCATTGATTGTAAAGCTGCTCTCCGCGAGGTTCTCGGTCTCAATGGACAGTTCTCCAGAGCCACACGTCAGCACCACTCCGCTGGAAATGCCATATTCAGAGTTCAAGGCGTGCGAGCCGTCGAGTTGGAAGATGCCGGAAGCAGAGGTTGCCCCCGTATACACAACGGAAGACGCATCAACAGCGAGGAGACTGTTGGCTCCGACAAGAGTCGTGGCCAGACCTGGAAGAGTAAAACGGGCTCAATGTCAGATTAACTAGGGACACACATTGACACTATCAGTTCTTGTTACGTAAATAAGCAGGCGTAAAAGGGGTCTCAGTGTCCAGATCTGGCAGGTACACAATTGAAGGCGACACACGCAGGTGACATCAGCCTTCTAAGCGGATTGTGCTCAAGGACAGACTCTGTAATTCTACTTTGTCGAGGCAAAATGTCAAACTTCTCTGAGCTGCATGGTAGTCGGAGACTGCATGAATCCCTTCAGGAAAGAAAGTCTGCTTACGTATGACAAGAAGTTTACAAGGTGCGCTTATTGCTTATTGATTCTGTTGTCAGGATGACGTCAGATTAAATTACAAGCATCCGACTGGTTTGGGATTTGAGAGCTGCACATCGTGTGAATAGATGTAGGCAGTGTCTCACAAGCAAGCCTGCACGCAAGTGTCTCATAGATGACACACCGGCAGTAAACCTACCCAAAGCATCGGTAGCCTCCACAAACGAGTTGGCCAACAAACGGCGCTCAGCTCCAGTGCTCGTCCTCAGGATGGTCGCCTTTTGGCGTGCCGGCTGAATCAATGTTGCCTTGCCAGCGCCGCTCGCTATCTCGCTCAGGGGTCGCATGCCAAGCGCAGTTTCGCTAAGAAAGACGAGAATCAACAGGAGAACATACGAAGCCACCATAGCTGAGCTGGAGATCCTCGCGGTGGACAGCAGAGAGGGCGCCATTGATGTTGGTGCTCTACTTGTGCTGCAAGCTAGGAATCATCAAGCTGGGCCCCTGGAAATGGCGCTAGATCTTTCGAGGAAGCAAACCCACTTGTCCAGATTCATCTTCAAAAATGCTCTCGGATTACTCTTCAAGCGAGCTGCTGAGACTCAGAGAGTACATTAGGTATATTGTATACGTACTACGAATGGAACTGGAAAGAATCGCCCTGCACTAAGGTGTCACATGTATCGTATGCTGCACATGGTGTCCTTCAGCCCCGAACAGCTACCGGTAGTCACTTGCGCCGGCGGCGTGCGCCAATTGGCTGCCATGCAGTGCACTGAGACGGTACGGTTACCGGTAGCTGCCAGTGCACGTGGCCGCCGCCCTCCGCCTTGCCGGCGGCAGCCCGGGGCTACATATCTACCGTACTACGTAGTACGCACGGTACAGGTAACAGGTTACAGCCTGAGGGCCCAGGCCCCTACTACGGTACGGTTACCGGTATACCAACGACGGAGTTCTGACATCGTCGGCTCCCAGGCCGACTGTTCTCCGGTCAGGATCGGCTGGACCTCTGAACCGGTCGGCTTGTGCGATCAGCCAAACACCTGATGATTCTAGCTGTCGGCTTTTCCGCCGACGCCCCTCGGTTGAGTCGTCGGCTGACGTTTGCCCGGTGTGACGGCTCGTGTCGAGCACTGATTATTATACGAACGTTGCAATTAGGGCCGGCGATCGGACTGACGGCACTAAGTCCCACTGCACGGACAGCCCGCTATTTCCGGTAAGTCGGTTCAGGGATGCCCTCAAGCTGCCAGTTGGTAGTCCGATTGACTGAACCGTAATTTCCGTCCAGTCAACCGGTACGGAAGATCCGACCACACGCAGCTTCCAGTCGAAAGAATCTCAGCAGTGAGCACTGAGCAGGAGTCAGGACTAGGACTCGGGAGTCGGGAGTCGGGAGGATGCAGGGCACAATTTCGCGGGATCGCCCAATCCATACGTCGGCCCTCGGGCTGTGACTTGTGATGCGCAACCCCCTTTTTAGGGCGCGGGGCCGGCCTCCATGCGCATTGAGACTGAGTCGTGTCCGGACTCGCTCCTCAAAGATATTAGGGCATAAGTTGTGGGGTTGCTTACTCTGCAGTACGTGGTGGCGCAGCGCCATTGGGTATTCGACCTTAGCGTCAAACAGGGTCAGTGAAAGGTCGGTCAAGCTAGTATATACGACTTGGCGACTGTGGGCCGAGGGCTTTGCCATCTCTCTCGTGCAATGGATGCCTTTAATGCAAGGAGCTGGACTTTCTGGATGGGTAGACTCCCTTGCTGCCTCCTCTCCTGCTTCCTGATTTTTCTGCAGTCAGCCGTGCTCCTTGCCGGGTTTAGTGTGGCTACTGACAACGGCAAAGTGATCATCCTGGAGGATAGTGTGATTGGAAATATTGGCTCTTTGGAAGCTCAAGCAGTCATCAAGGCTGGCTTCACTCCTGACATTGTCAATGCCACAGTATGGGCCACCATGACAACTGCACAATTTGAGGCCTACCGTGGAATCTTGATTGGAGATCCAGGATGTTCTTTGCTTGCAAAAGGTGAGTCCGAGGTTGGAGTTGTGGGATTAAATACCCTGCCTTCTCCATCGGCCAGGTGTCATATCTGCCTGCTGCAGGTACTTCAATGACGTCATATTGACATGTAATTATGTCCATGGTGCAATTATGCATGATCGTCCCCTCAGGCCAGAGGGCTTTACTGACCAACCTTTAGCTGGCCCTACTGTTGGCAGCCAGTGCAAAATCTCTGTGAATGCATTGAACTGCCAGCTTGCTTGCCAAAGCTGCTTGGTGAGTAGTACAATCCTGTTCTCGCAAGATTGCCAGCTGCATCTGCAATTTTGATGAATTACTGACCTGCAAAAGTATAGCCCGTCTTGCTTTTGAAGCTTACGCATATGATTGCCGGTTGCAGCTGCCGACTTTCCCCTATATTTCAACTATGGGGAGGCGGCCATAAACAACGCACCCACCTGGATCGCTGCTGTCACTGGAAATATCCTCATTGTTGGGACAGACCCAGCCTACCATTACAATGAGGGCAGGACAGGAGCCAAAGTCCTGATTGAGAGTGGCGTTGCCTTTGCAATATCCAGCTCAATGGGAACGGGGGCCTATATCTGCCTGTCCTGCTCTGGGGGTGCAGGTCCTGATTATGAGAGTTGGCTGAGCAACTTTGGAGGCACGTGGAAGCTCCGTCAGCCAGACTGTGACTCCACAATCACAATATGTGAGAATCAAAACTTCGAAACTTGTAGGACTCATGAAGATCTTGAGATATGTGAATCAGACTTGTATTCTTGTGGAGTCATGCAGTCTTTGAAAGGATGAATGGCCAGGGCTGCAATGCAAACCTTGCATATGGAGCAAGGTCTTTGCTGGATATATCTTCGATGCAACGCAGGATCCTACCAGTACCTCGGTATTGCCTCTGTTTGCTTTGGCATCTCCAGTAAACAGATTAGAGTGTCCCTGATTCAGCAGTGACAAGCATGTCGACTATTTCTTACAGTGGCCACTCATCCAGCCCTTTCCAACCTCACAAGCGCCGACCTATCCGACTGGCAGTGCTCCTCCCACGAGACCTTCGAATCCTTCAACACAGAAAGGTTCTTGCCACTGGCAAAAGCCAGCGACAATGATCTGCCCTACATTGTTGCCAGTGGACAAAATCTCGCTGCAATCAGTCCCCCGTTTCCACCTCAACTCCAGCCCCCTCCACCTTACCCCCCACTCTTCAATCCTCCACCACTTGGCTCTTTCCCTCCTGCAAGTTTACCCCCTCCGTCTACCACCTCTGCCTCGAGTACGAATGGTGAGTAGGAAGTGGGAAGTCTTGAACTGCACAACATGCTGCTCTTTGCGTTGTATTCTGCTTGCTTACAAGTCACCTCAAGTTGATACTGGAAACGTATAACACACTGCCTCCAGCTTTCATTGATAGGCATTGGTTGAAGCTTGACTATTTACCAGTACGTGTAAGATCGAGATTAAACTGCCCTTTTGAGCTGTTGTTTCTTTGTTCCTTGCCAGCTCTTGAGCGTTGCAACGTCCCCTGTGACCCTTACTCCAGCCTTCCTAACCGCTGCTGTGATGCTGAGGGCCTTCTTGGCATATGCTGCCCTGGCGCTTGTGGAAATACGGTGGCCTTATCAGGAGGGGGGTCAGTTGCTACTTGTTTGGGCCCTGGTGGGGCCTCCCCTATCAATTATCCTTCGACAAGTCCAAGCATTCCGCCACTAAACCCGACAGAGTCCCCTTCCCCAAGCGGGACGCCTGCTCCAACAGTGAGGAGTAAGTCAAGTACTGGTCGCAATGCTTCTGAGTTTGAAGTCTGAATAGAGGGCTATTTAAGGTTCAACTTCGTGCTACTGCACCATCTTCTTTCAGCATTGTATTGTGCTCGCGCACTGTGTTTGGAGCGTGTGTTTGGAGCAGAACATTACTAAGAATCTATGAAACCCATTTCGAGTCATCATTACATGGTATCGATCTGGAACGCTTTGTCTGCACAGGTGAACTCCAGCGCTGCAGTGATCTGTGCCCTGACGCCAATTTCCCTAATCGTTGTTGCGATGCCGTTGGACTCTCAGCTGTATGCTGCCCCGCCCAATGCGGTGATATCGTCTCTTTGCCGGGAGGAGGGTCCGTTGCAACGTGCCAGGGCTTGGGAGGGACCGTCCCAACCTTGACATCCCAACCACTTATACCGACTCCTTCGAACACCCGTGGCACAGATGGGCCAATTCTTTTTCCATTTCAATTTTGCGACCCAGATTCCGACTTTCCAAATCGGGTGAGTTGCTTACTTTTATGACTAGGTGATTGATGTCGAGACGAGTTCAAACCGAGACTTTCCAGGCTCTCAGTGTCGGCGTTTTCCTCATCGCCAAACCCTGACGCTTCTTGATTGTCTAGAGAAAAGCACACCAATCAATCTTTCTGGGGACGTTCTTAGCGTCGATATGACCAGATCTACTGCATGCCACCATGACGTCTTGAAGAAAGTCGGTTCGAAAAGAATGTAACTGATGCCGATGAAAACAAGGGATTTGCCTTCCGTCCAAGAAAACAAAGCTTTGTAGACCATCGTGAAGCCACAACTTCTCCATAAATTTATCAATCATCTTCATGCAGCCCAGTCCCTTTCTGCGGCAGCAATAAGCTTCTGAAGCTCGTTGCCTAAGGGGTTCGGCTATTTGTCCAGAAGTTTCTAGAACCATGCAACTGACTCTCGTTGGACATCTTGAAACACATGTACATCGTCTGTTGAAAGGGATCTGTTCATTCATTGAAGACGTTGGAAGTCTCAGAGCTTTGGCATGGCAATTTCTAGTCTAACCAGGCGTCAATCTCCGAACTGGCCACGACGCCACCATTCATACCAGTGCCTAACTAGACTGGTATCCTCCTTTTTGCAGTGCTATAACGTAGACGGCTCCAGCTTTACCTGTTGTGGCCAGGAAAGCTGCCGCACAGGTCCCGCCAGTGCTATTCCTCTCTGCGCTAACGGCCTTCCCGGAGTGACACCTACCCAAGCGCCCGGTATCCCCAGTCCGAGCCCCAGTACGACAAGCTCAACCCCCAGCACTACGAGCCCACTAACCCCGAGCCCAACACCCGGCACCCCCGAGCCGAGCGCAACTTCTTCTAGCACTCCAAGCCCGACCCCAAGCACTACCAGTCCAACGCCCAGCATGACAGTACCGAGCCCAACGCCAAGCACCCCAAGCCCCACGACCAGCAGTCCAAGCCCGACCCCAAGCACACCGAACCCCGTTTCGAGCACCACAGCCCCGACTACCAGCACACCCACTCCTTCCCCGAGCACTACTCCGAGCACTCCGGGCCCCACTTCAAGCACCCCGAGCCCAACTCCCAGCACTCCTAGCACTCCGAGCCCGACCCCAGGCACTCCCAGTCCAACTTCCAGCACTTCGAATCCCACGCCAAGCCCCCCGAGCCCAGTCCCAAGCACCCCGAGCCCCACGACCAGCACCCCGAGTCCGACCTCAAGCACCCCGAGCCCACTTCCGAGCACAACAGCCCCCATTACAAGCACACCGACCCCTTCTCCGAGGACTACTTCGAGCACTCCGAGCCCAACGCCAGGCACAACAGCCCCCACTACCAGCACACCGACCCCTTCTCTGAGCACTCCGAGCCCATCGCCGAGCACACCAAGCCCGGCCACAGGCACTCCGAGCCCAGTCCCAAGCACCCCAAGCGCCACGACCAGCACACCGAGTCCGACCCCAAGCACACCGAGCCCCATCCCCAGCACAACAGCGCCCACTACCAACACCCCCACTCCTTCGCCAATCACACCCAGCCCTACGCCGAGTACACCGAGCCCAAAGCCAAGTACACCGGCTCCCAGCCCCACTACACCGAGCCCTACTTCGACAAGCGCAACAGGTAAGATATGACGACTTGTTCGTAGTGCAGACTACCATTCGATTGATCGAAATCCGTACTCAATTTGTCTCGTGATTGGTCAGGTTGCATTCGAATCAACTTGAAGCCAGCCTTGCAATGGCGTTTGATCATTGATTCGATCTGGTTGCGCTGATTTACAGTAGTAGCCCTCGTAGTAGCAAGATAAATCGGTTTGAGCAGTTCCAATAACACGATATCGAAACGGGAAGATGTGCCAATGCTCGTCTATCCGAGACTGAATTCAGATGTCAGATGAGTTGATTAGAAGCGGTTTGAGATATTTGCTAAATCGATCTCGAAGCTCCTATGTTGATACACAGCTAGCGGCCACCGTGTATCCACGAGCAGTTGCTGAGCATTTATAGTTCGTGGCGAGTCGTTAGAAACAGATTGGAGTGCCCACTTGTCTGAGGAGGTTTTCAACTTTCATATGATTGTGATTCGTGTCTGTTGCCCACAGTCCCGTGTACAAGCCCCTTACAGCCCCAAGCATCACTCAGAAGGAGAGTGCTGGTGGTATTATCCAGAGTATTCAAGGAGACGGCTATTGTGGTCTGTCAGACACCGTACCCGCGGATATCCCACCAGAGTATTTCGACGTCTCTTATGCCATCGACTTTTACGGGAGAAATGTCGATGATGCCGCGCCAGGGGAGGTTTTCAGCTACACAGTGAAGGTGTCGGGGCCCTATTTCGAGGCTCTTCTCGAGGTGAACTCGGTGACAAATGTTATCACGTTCCAAGTGGAGGGGGCTACGGTCCAGATCGATGCCACTACCGGCGATATCCTGGATCAACGCGACGCACCGGCATCGGCTGAAAGCGGCGGACGCAAATTGCTGGCTGAGAGCAAAGAACTTTCGCCACCCTGCGCAAAGAGGGAGGCAACATGCACCGGGGTGACGTCGTTCCAGACAGCGACGCTTTGCCAGGGTATCACTAAGACGTCTCTCTTGAAAACGGCCTGCGCCAAGGTTGCAAGCTTCTTTCGATCGAGAGTGCCGAAGTTGCCCCCGACAATCCTGGATAACTTGTGCAGCTTTTTGGTGGACACAACAAAAAAAGGATGTGAGAAAGCAATCGACTGTGAGACGTACGGGCTAGGGTGAGCGTTTTTACTGCCTGTACTAGTCATTTCCAATCGTAACTCGTAGCCTAGTTCTGCATGTCCAGACTCCAGACAAAACCTTCTGAGCATTGACCCTTCTTCAGAGCTGACCGTATCGGTCAGATCCGCATAGTAGTGCAGCTGGGGGTCTTCAAGCTGTGGAGTTTCTTTTGGTCACGTGCATCTCTGCGAAGGTCGACCCTGACACCTGATCAAAGTTTGGTTCTTGAAGAGCCTTTCTTTCGGTTGGATGTGCGAGTTCTTTCTAGAACCCGTTTACTGATCATCAATCTGCTCCATCTAGTAATGGAGCGGACTCAGGGGACTCGAGAGACGTGCGTGGTTTCGTCTTTGCTCAAGAAAGACAAACTTGCGCTGGTTTATCCATACTACTTGAACTTGAAGTACTCGCATGAAGCTTTCCGAAACAATCTGGCTGTTGAGAACTGCTTATATCAAGTCTGCCGTTGTGGTCTTGTCGACTGATTGTTCTTGATCTTCGTGTCTGCAGGACTTGTTGCAACTTTACACATTCATGTGCCGACTTCGATTTCACATTCTCGGGGTCCTTCGACCAGTGCTTGATTGATTGCGTACAGATTGCCACTGATTGCTGCACAAGCGTCCCACTGCCTCCTGTCGCGGTTCAGATATGCATTAACATCAACTACAGTGCTTGTACACCTGAATGCGTTTGTTAAATCCGTTTAAAGGAACGGCCGGGACTGTAGTTCAGAAGCAAGTGTGATTAATAAGGGGGTTTCGGTCGCGTATACGTACGATTATGTATTTGCTGGCGGCCCGTTCTACTCTGGGTTTGTAAATTTTGCATCAGTGTTTAACGTGAAATTTATCAGACAATATTTAGAAGAACACAACCTCATAGGCAAATAGATGGTTCATCGCATTGGACAATAAGACGCAGATTGCCCGTCAGATTGTCTTCCCGGCCACTCGCTGGAGTATTGAGCATATTCTATCATGACGCCTAGGACCTTGAGATCTGACACACGAGCTGACGTCATTGCGACTGCCACTCAAACCGACAAGCCAAATGCAAACGGTGACCGCGCCACGCGAGCTCAAACGGGCAATATCCAGTTCGTTCAATGGTACTCGATCAATGATGTGTAGCGCGCGCGCGGTCCCAACGCACATTGCTCCGAGGCTCAGATATTCAAGCGAAAAACGGGCGCGCTCTTTCAAAATGCAACTCTCGATCGATTGGCTAAGGTTGAAGACAGATCGACCTCGCATCCAACGCTTGTTAACGGGGGAAGCTACTAGCGTCTGGAACGTACTAATTAATGATTTAATATGCAGCCTTTTGCAATCTAAATTAACCTGTTGCTGGTTGGGGATGCAAAAACGATTACGGGTAGTGAAACATATAACAACAATAGCCGAAAAATCCATGATCGCCGAACAACCTCCGACCTTAAACAACTTCATGAATTGCCCACATCATTCGTCTTGATGTTACTGCGCACAAGCATTCAGTTGGACTGGTCGAAGGAACACAAGCGTTGAATGTCAAACTAAGCTCTCTACCCTGCATCGGTCTTTCAGCTTTGCTAGCTTTGCGTATACTACCTCTAGCTACGACTTGCATGAATGATGGCTAGAGAGCGTGATTATGGGCTAATTACACACAAAATGTACGATCATCTGGCTACGTTCTTACAATTGGCTCTACCTAAGAGCCTACGCCGCTCCTTATTGTCACGTATATACTTCACCCTAAAACGTGCAGTGACATTGGCCCACCGGTCACCTTGTCCAGTACTATTCCCTTTGACTTCTAAGTATACACATCTAATCAGATACTCTTGCACAACTTGATCCACGACACCACCCCTCTGGCCGAGTATCTTAAAGGCACGTATGCCACGCCGCTGCTGCGACCTGTGGTCTTAGGAGGACCTATCGGTCTTTGACCGTTGCTACCTTGGAACGCATGATCAAGAAGCAGACCCTGCAGGATTGACCAGTTGCGGCAATCAGGATGCGAAACTTCCAGAACGCGGACGGGTTGAAAGGGACAGCAGAAACCTGTCCACCTCAACCCACCCCGGTATGCAGAAATGAGCTCTGATGGTCGATAATCGTCCGACGTCTGATATGCGATCGGTAAGTCGGAATGAGCAGAAAAGCGCAACCGATCACAGAAGCTCTACAGGATCGAGGTGAAGGACCCGACGGAAATCTTCTTAAAGAGAGCCACAAAGTGCTTCGGTCTTTTCGGGTTGACCGCCTTGAACTTTTGGAGTCGAGCTAGATGAAGCACGTCATCAGCATTGGATGTCCTGACAATTCTGGAAAGACTGGGCAAGGCAAGTCTACGGCCTTCCCCTTTACATCCGTCTACTTTGTCGCAACATTGAGCTAAGTGCAGCGGATCTAGTACGGACCTAAGGGCCCAACACTCAACCGCCCGAGGACTGCTGTTCCTCTAAAGTCAGTCGGGTTCTTCAGGACTTGAGAGCTCACCAGAAGATTGAGAGCACGTTGGCGAAGAGGACGCGCAGCTGCGGGGGCAGGAAACTGTAGTTGATGAACGCGACGAGCGGCCACAGCTGCGAGGCGACAGAGAAGGCTCAGCTGGTATCAAATCTGGCTGAGATATCCGGAGTCATCGGTCATCAAGATCAACGAGGTGGCTTCAAATAAGATCACCACAATCGTCGTCTATCGGACAGGACAAAGAAGTGCTGAAATGTCTTCAGTCGCCTGCTGCCAGACGGTTCAGACGGTCTTGAAAGGCTGAACTCCTGTAGCGTCGAGTTAGCGAAGCCAACCACAGTCCTCCACAGATCCCTGCTTTTCTTGCTATCTTCGGTTCTTTCGTCATGACCGCGACCGACTTTTCCAGAGAGAGTCGCTTCCCGATCTGCCAGGACCGCCAAAGAACTGGCCAAAGGGTTGGTGCTTTGGAGAGAAGACAACACAGTGCAGCGGACCTACTGTTGAACACTTCTAGCTTCGCCTCCAATAACAGACTCGTATCAAGCGGTCCCACATCGGTAAACTACAAACACCTGAAGTCCTTGACGGGCAAGTGGGTTCTTACATTTAGAAAAAAGGCATTGATAAGCGGCCATGATAGATTGCTGTCTACCGAGACATCACTCGACTGCAAGACATCCCTGTAGCTCCCTTCCTTTTTGAGACACCCTATTTTTCTTACAAGCATGACAAAGCCTTGAGGAACGATGAAATAGGAACTCGGACGGAGCTTCTTGGGTGACGTCAAAAGATGGCAAGGCGGTGATCCGACAAAATGGCGATTACCCAAAGTTCCGAAACACCTTTCGGGGTAGCTTTTAGTAACCGACTCGAAAGAGGACAACACGTGTCGGAAGTAATGGACTAGCGGTGCAACTCCGGCAAACCTGCGCTATGCCTCCACTTACTGTTGCGCCCGTATGTGAAGTGTTCAGATCGCACGCCTTTCTTAGACGAAGTGACATCAAGATCGGCTTCAAGCGAAAAGGCGGTAGGTCGCAAAACCGCCAACGTGGCAACTGACCCTAAGCTTGGGTAGTCAAGTTTGATATTGGCCAGGCTGAAATATCAGAGAAGCACTGCTGTGAGGAAGCACGTGGCCAGTCCGGGTTGACTTCAAACTCCTCAAATTTTCATCTCAATCCTTTCACGAGGCGAAGGCCTCGCTTACCTTCCAGCCCTGCTTCTGAACGCCCCAGTAATCTCTCCGCACTTTTGCCTTGGTCGCGGCCCAGGTCAGACCTGCAGAAATGGGATCGTCGTTCTCTGTGGTCAACAGACTGACCGTTGACACTTGAGATCCAACAGCGGCAGGATGTCGGCTTCTCTGGACTCTTGGAAGAATGCGGTTCCTAACCAGGAGAAGAACAGAACGCGCCTATACGGAACAGAGAATGACAACTTGGGCAAGAACAGACTCGACTTGATTGCCCTTAGTCGAGAAATCAAACAATCGGTACTCTCGTAGCAAAGAACGGTGTCCTAGCTCTGTTGGACCATCGGACCCATTCGATACACAAGGGTGTATGTACAAGAGCTTCAGTGTACGAGATATTGAGGTTCTAGCTTACGAGCCTCGGATGATTCAGCTAAGGCCTAGGTATCCGATTCAACAGACAAACGGCAGTGTCGTCATGTGTCACAGGATGTCACAAGCATTTCTCATTTCTCAATTTCCTGCATTTACGTAAACCATGATTGCAACAAGTTAACAGAAAGCCGTTTACAAAACGAGATTGACATGTTTTAGAACCAGGGCTGCGCCAAAGTTGAGCCCTTCTACTGAGCCCTTCTACCAGTGAATCGTTCTAGAATGTTGCAAGGGGCTCCACACAAACCCTGTAAGAATGACAAAACGCTCTCAAACGAAGAAGGCCGTACCAGTAGACGTCATCCACATGGCTGGGTATCTCAAAAGTGTGTCCGCTTCAAGAACGACCCCACAGCAATCCTTCAATTATCAACGATTGAGGCTGGGTACCTAAACAGCATCAATTTCCCAAACCAGAGTATCTCATTACAGGTACAGAAGGAGGCCTCCTCCCTTACCTTCGACCACGTACGCCCGGTACGTCAGGATTGCGAGGTTGTACATGACGCCAAAGGTGAGCTGCTCAACCACGACCTTTTGGATGACGGTGGACGGGTCCGTTTTTGCACCAAAGACCCGGTCCATGATCTTGTGGAAAAAATGGTATGTCGGACCGCCGAAGCACAGCCCGTAAACCTGAGGAGGGTCAGCTGAAAGTGGTCACTTCTGAAAGGACGGAACATGGGACAATGCCAATGTCAACTCATGCACACAGGGGAGACAAGGCTTCTGTGTTGCCAAATGTTGGCAGATGATACTGTTCACGGCAATAACTACCCGCCAGCCAGCTAGCTGGGGCACTGCCCAGATCCCGGACTCAAGCACGTCTTTCAGGTTCCACATTGATGGCAGTATCTGAATGAAATTTACCAGGTTCTGCGCAGTCCGCCTTGTGGTGGGTCAAAACCCATACAAGCTTTTTATGGACTCAGAAGCAGTTGGGTGCTGGACCAGCTGCCAAGTTACCAACACTGTCTCAGCTTACTACCTGGAACAGATCGTAGAACCAGGCTGATAAAAGGTAAAAGGCTGGTGGTCCCCAAATCAAGAAAAAACACTCGCAAACGCAAAACCTTGGCAGCTTTCTGCGAACTAGACCAGCATCGTTTTGGTGATACCAAGATCAATGTTTAGATGATGAGACATCTTTGCAAAAGAGATTGGTCTCGCAGCTCACCGCCATGAGGGCACTCTTCTTGGGCTGCAGATGCTTTGCGCCCCCCATCTTCTGTGCCAGGACATCAGCTACCGCTGCTAGCGTGCCTGATGTTATCGCCTGAGGGCATTGAGGAGCACATGATGTCAGGAGTTCATCAATGTAAACACCCAGCTGGGGTGTGTTGATCCTCAAAAGAAGAGCCAATCTGCCGCAATTACATTCTGTGAGTAGAGTCAGTCTATGAAATATGACGATGGTGGATCGATGATTATCTGCAATCAAGCTACTAATACTCATGTGAAACAGGACACCTGCTTTGAGATCAGAAAATCAACGACTTGTGCCCCACGCTTATACTGCATGCACCGGCATTGCTTGTCACTTACCTTCGTGATCAAGGGCCGCTTGCCCAAAGAATGCAAGTATCGCTGCCAGGCGACCACCAAAAGCGTCCCCATAATTGATTCCCGCAATGCTATTCGCCAACACACAAAAATTGGTGAGGAAACTGGAAGCTCTGGCAATTGTTCGTTTGCACGCAGGCAAGCAGAGAGAAAAGTGTACAATTAGTAGCCAGTTTTACCCAGATGCTAATGAGCAGCACCTCTAGCAACCAGAACCGTGCGACAGCCGCCCGTCTTCCTCCAAGCTAGGCTTTTCTTCAAGGCTTGCATGCTCTTGCCAGTGTTGGTCAGCTTGCGAGGTCGGCCTGCTTTGACACATACAGCGGCAATCTTTTCTAGAGGACAATTGGAAATAAATACAATTGAGGTGGAAATGCAGAGAGCCGGTTGAGAAGCTGACGGTTGACGGTCATATGGCTCTGCTTAGAGCAGATCGCGTTACGCTGCTGCTATTTATTGACGGAACGTTACAATCTTTGCGAGCGCTTGCCCTACAGTCTCGCAGAATCTTGCGGGACAAGACGGCACCGCCCAGCGTGACGGTGCTCACGATTGTTGCGGTAGTGTTTATTTTCCACGATTAGTTTGCAGTTTGCAAAGTATTTTGGACGAATATGGCAGAAAAAGGGCAGAATGAGGGAAGAAAATGCCGTCTGTCAACATGAAGGTGTGAGGAAGCAAGGGGGAAGGGCAGGGCCGCTTGCTTGCAAGCTTTCCAGGCCATGTCAGGCCAAGTGAAAGGGTGAACCACAATTTTAACCCGGAACCGGTTGCCATCGCAGGATGGCGTCTCCTTTGCAGTCTGAGCAGCTCAAGTACTCGTCTGAACCCCTGCAACATCACATGTCAGGACTTGACTCCAATGGAAAGACATCCCTCCTACAAGACAGTGATTCATTTGTGACTCCGCCCAGGAGACGTTCAGCAAAGGCAGGAGCCACCCCCTACCCTGACGTCAGGAAGCCCACACCACGTTCGGAGGTGACATCAGCAAGTCCATTGAAAGGGGAATTGGCTGGAGTCAGGACCGTTGCAATCCCGGTGATGCAAGGCATCAAAGTGCTGATTGAGGAGAAGGAGAAGGAGCTGACTGCGCTAAGTGAGCGGCGGGTCAAGGGGGTGGAGGCGCAGGCAAAGTAAGAAGGCTGCTCTGGGCCTCTACAGTAGCTTTGCTTCATCAAACGCTGGAACAAGAATCTGTTGCTATCTGCATTGTGGGCAAGGTTTTCAATGTTAATACACTTATGCACTCAAAGAGATCAGCGTAAGAATCCACTTGCCTCTAGCATGCTGGCTGCTGGAGCCCAAATCTCTGCCACAATATTGAGACTACGACAACCAAATCAAGGGTCTTCCTGCTGTTTCCGCTGTAATAGTGTGTTGTGAGCCCCTTGTTGCTTTGAAACGGCTTGAACAAGACCATTCGCAGTTCATTCGCAACTTGAAGGCTGCTGTCTTGAGACAAGCTTCTTGCTTTACTGTCTTCGTTGATCATTGAATGCTAAACGAACTGTCAGTCCAACCACCACACCAACTGGGGACTGTTCCAGCCAACCCCTTCAGATTTCCCTGGAAGGCTACTACTCTGCAATGAACGCAGTCACTTCAGATAGTATCTGAGCCCCTATCTCCCATCCCCCTTCATCACCGTCAGTGGTGGGCCGTTCTCAGTACTTAACCCCTTTGTGGCCCTTCTAAGCGAACAGTTCCAACCCATGCTTTTAGCGGTTTCGTTTGGTTGCTTGCCCTTCTCTGCAAGAAGCTGGCAAGTACCTCCTTTCCCCCTCAATCAGACCCTGTTCATAACTCTTTCTAACCCACCTCTCTTCTCAACAGGAGCCTGGCAGAAGATCTGCGCAGGAAAGAAGCCGAGATTGCCACTCTGCAAAGTCAACTCTCCCAACTTACTTCCGACTTCAAGTACAACCTGAAGCTGCTTGACGAGAGGGATGCAGAGCTTGAGAAACAGGACCAAGAACTGTTGGCATTTAGAAAGAGTGTTGCGGGTTTGGAGGCGCAGTTACATGAGGTTCGCAGGGGAGAGGGGCAGTGGCGGGAGGAAGCGGAGCGGATGCGGCAGAGGGTGGAGGAAATGGAGGAGGCAATCGGGGCGTATCAAGAGGTGAGCTGGCAAAGTCGTTGGTTTGTTGCTTTTGCGGGTTTGTGGATAATGATACGTCGAGCTGTCATAGAACAAAGCAAGCTTGGTCCGGTTTCAAGGAGAAGGATGGCAAGAAGTGAGTGGGATGAGCGACTATGCGGTCTGGTTAGTATGCTTGTCAGCAGTCTTGCTTCTGATTCCTCAGCTTTATGGTATTTTGTCTTACTTCATTTTGTACTGGATGGATTGAGAGAGAGAGAGAGAGATAAGGAGTGCCAGTTCGTGAGGGTTTGAACACAAAGCTGTGAAGTTGCTTTCTGGTGCAAGACATGGTCGATTCCCTTGCCAGTCTTGAGGGTGCCACGTGGGGCCTTATGGTTCATGATCAAACTCGAGTTGCTGGACGCTTCTTCGACGATTGGGGGAATGTGCAACAGGGATTGGGGTTCTGATGCAGGTTGTGATGGGATACATGACCAACCTAGAGAATGGAAATGCTCAAAAGCGGACTGGAATTCCGCAAGGCACAGAAAGAGCAAAGAAACTACAAAGCTTACACACAGTCTTGAAGAGGGTGATGTAATAATGCAGGTCGTGGGCACGTGCGCGACTCGCTAGACAAAGAGAGTGTACGATATCAGCAGTGCACCCAAGAAGTTGCGGCAACCCAGTACCAAAGACAAGGTGACAAACCATCAGATATTTTCTGTTCGCCTGATCCAGGTCGTGGCAAAAGTCCGTGACCAGCTAGAGGACGCCAAGCGCCTGCGCGACGAGGAGGTTGCGAAACAGGCTGCAGAGACGGGGGTGCTCAAAGCGCACCTAGGGGAATTGAACGCTCAGCACGAGGCAGACGTCGAGGCGGCCGTTCAAAGAGCGGAGGAAAGCTTTCAGGCCGAGAGAATTGCGACGGAGAAACGGGTCTCAGAAATGCGGAGCAAGTTGGAAGAGGGGGAGAATCGGAGACGGGAAGAAGTGCGCAGTTTGCAAGCCGAAGTGGAGGTGGCTAGAAATAAGGGGAACGAGCGGGTTGCGGAGGAGAGGGAAAAGGGGAAGCGGGAAGTGCAGAAGGTGCAGAAAACGGTGGACGAGACGAGCGTCCGGCAGTTGAAACTCGAAGAAGAGCATAGGACGAAAACCGAGCTGCTGCGGAAGCAACTAGGCGCGGAGTACCAGGCGGCGCTACTGAGGCTGCAGAAGGAGCACGGTGCTGACGTCAGCGCGCGCGTGCGCGCTTTCGAGCGGGAGCGCGAGGCCCTGGAGCGGCAGGCGGGGGCCTGGGAGGAGGAGCGATTGACACTGGCGGCGCGGCTGGAGGCTGCGGAGAGGGAGGCGCGCGGCGCCGGTGTCAAGTGGGAGGAGCGGGTGCGGGCCTTGCAGGAGGAACGGTGAGGTGGCCTCAGTAGATGTTTGTCTGGGAGGACACGAAGGATTTGATTTGCACACCGGAGGGTGTGTATTGTGCAGCGGACATTTCAGGTGTTTGTATAGCAAGAAGGGAATCATTGGCGTCAGGGGGGCGTTCGCGGCATGACCTTTTTATCAGCTTATTAAAAATAAGCTAGGAGTTTTGCGTTGGGCGAATGTCGCCGAGCCACTCGGCGTCTATGGCAAATCAACCTCTCCTGGACCCGCTGCCCGTACATGTCTTGCTTTTGAGTATCTTTCACAGGTGCAACACTCCGCGCTGCTGAATCATAAACCATAAGCACCCGCTCAAAGCGACCCCTCTTTTCAACAGGAAGCAAGGCGAGCAGCAGACGCAAGCGCTGCAGGCCCGCGTCACGGAGCTGGAAGGGCTGACGTCAGCGCAGTCTGCGGAGCTAGAAAACGCGCAGCGGCAGTCGCGCATGCTGCAGGCCCTCGTGGACGATCTTCACGCGGCGCTGCAGGCGAAGGAGGAGGCGACACGTGGCCTGCAGAAGCGGCTGGACGAACTAGAGGTGAGGAGCAAGTCGAGCCCTTTCGTTTTTTGATCCGTTTGTTCTTCCTCGGACATTTTGGTTTTTGGTTCATTGTCCGTCTTCTGAGACCTGCCTGTTTACGACAAGCATGACGTGTTCTGAACGCAGACTTTCAGGAGTAAACAGAGAGAACGGAGCAGTCCCCGGCTAAGCCTTTGACTGGGTAAGCGTTATTGGACTTTCTTTTGTGACTTTTGGATCTTTTGAACTGGGTTCTAGGAAACGGCAGCACTGTTCCTGGCCGTTGTTTACGCAGTTGAACAGGGTTCAAACTCGGACGTGTCAAAAGAAACCTCTAAACGGGGTGACCCTTTTGATGGAGGACGAAGAAGACTTGGCAGACGGTTCAGCAGACGGTTCAGCAACTTCATTTTCGGACGGCATTCGGACGGGTGCTTGCCCGTCTGATATGAGCGCCAGAATCTTGTCCACTTCGTTCGTTTCTTGACACAGCCGTACGAGCTTTCAAAAAGCCATTCTGAAAATTTCGGCAGGCCAGGCCAATCCAGAACCCTCAAACCCTCTCTGCAGGGTGCCAACGTGGCCGCCGTCGCGGCCCTGGAGCGCGACAAAGCAGAGGCCGAGGCGTCCTTACGTCAGCAGCTGCTGGGCGAGTACGAGGCCAAGGTCGCGGAGCTTCTGGACGCCCTGCGGACGATGGAAGAGCACGTGGCGTCCGAATCGGACGCCACGTCGCAAAAGTTGGCGGAGCAGGTCGAAGCCCACGGGAGAGAAGTAGAAAGACTGGAAGGGCTGTTGGAAGGGAGCCGGCGAAAGGTTGAGGGGTTGGAGATTGAGTGTCGAGAAGTGAAGGAGGAGCGGGAGAGGGAGAGAGACGATGCGCAGTTTGTGAAGAGCACGTTGGCGGCGCGGGACGCGGAAGTGGAACTATTACGGGGCGAAGTGGAAAGCATCCAGAAAGAGGTGGAGAATCTGAGCGAGGAGCGGACGGTTCGGACGCAGGAAGAGAAAGTTCGGACGGAAGAGGCGTCCGCGCTGCGTGTGGAGCTGTCCGCACGAGAAGCGGAAGTGGTGCGGCTTGCAGAGATGCTGGAGAACGCGCGGCATCAAGCCGAAGGCTTAGGATTAGAGGTCGCGCAGAACGACGGTTTAGGGTTTGGAACCGCGGGCAGGAGCGTCGGAGGATTTGGGGGTTTGGGCGCCGACGGTTTCGCGCTGGTACGGAAGTTGGCCGCCGAGAACGAGGAGCTTCGGAGGCGATTGCTGGGCGCAGAGGCGACGACGCCGAACGCAGTTCCAAACCCGGGGGGGTTAACGGACGGGCCGGGAGCACACGAAGGGTTACTGAAGTCGCGGACTGTGCGTCGGTATTCCAGAGACGAAGTGCGGACGGTCTCTGGTTTTGCGGACGGTGAAGAAGAGTCGCGTGGGGGCGAGCTTGGGCAACGAGAGGGTTTGGAGGAACCGGGTTTGGGGCGCCTTGGTTTTGGCGAGCAGGGTTTTGTGACGGACAGTGGTCCGCCAATGGGGCTGCAGGTTGACCCGCGCCGGTCTTCTTCTCCAGCGATTGCGAAGCTCCAGCAAGAGATGCGGGCAGTGAGGCAAACCGTTGCGGCTCTGCGCTCGAGCCACGTGGCAGCTGTGGATGCAATCTCTTCGGATGGGCGACACGTGTCGCATGCTGAGGGCGATTCTCAAAGCCGGGAAGCACGAAGAGCTCCAAGGCCGCCATTCGCGGACGGCCGCAATTTCGATACGTCTGGGCCAATGGAAGAGTTGGCGACGCTTCGAAACGAGCTTTTGGCGCTGGGACTGGAGGTCACGGCCGTTAGGGACGCAAGGGAAATATCGAGCAGACCGGAACGGGAGGACACGGAACCGGATCCGACAACGGATTCCGATCTGCATGCACTCGGCAACGAGCTACTTCAGCTTAAGGCTGTGGTGCAGAGCTTGGCCGCTCCAGAAACTGGCCGAACGCGGGTCGAGGCGGGGGACCGGAGAAACGTTTTCCGCGAAGGCAAGAAGAGTGAGAACCAAAGTGGGCAACGGGCAGCGCAAACCGACGCTGTGACGATCGGTGTACTTCAGCAGATGAAGGAAAGCGTGGCTGCGCTGAGAGCCGAAGTCGCCAGCCTGCAGCGAGCAGAAGTTGGTGCTGTGGGACGGCAGCAAGTCGATGCACCGTTTGCTAACCCGGTTGCGGGTTTGGTGGGCGAGTTCAGGGCAGGGGTTAACCCCGGCCGGTTAAGCGAACCGACCGAGGGGTTTTCCGGGGGCTTCGGGACCCCAATCGCATTGACAGGAAGGGATGCGCATCTCAACGGAGAGGCGTTAAAATTGCGTCAGCAGGTGACGTCAGCGGGGACGGCTGCTGATGTGGCCGCCCTGCAAGAGAGCGTCGCCCAGTTGACGCGCGACCTGCTCGCCTTGAGGTCAGGAGCCGCACCTCTCGGTTCCGGTTCCGGTTCCGCCCACGGAGTGCAGCAGCTTGTCACCAGCGGACTGACAGGAAAGGCGAGTGGCGGGCAGGTTTTCGCTACAAAGGCGGGTGAGGTTTGGACCGAGGGTGAGGAAGCGCGGAACGACCTCAGGGGACCGGAACGGAATAGTCCGATGCTTGTCCCGTCCGAGCTTCTTCAACGAGAGATTGCGGAAGCGCAGGCGGAGCTGGCTGCCCTCAGGAGCGGAAGCAAGGCTTTTCCGGCCTTAGGAACGGAGCGGGACAGGCCGGAATCAGGGAGCGGACTCGTGATTGAAGGAATGGAAGTCAGCAAGGAAGGCCGGTCTTCAGTGCGGTGGGCGGACGGAGAGTCCACGGAAGGCGTCGAGCCGTCTGAACGAGTTTCCCAGGAAGCCACGGGGAATAGCGTTTGGGGAAGTCACCCCGGGCAGGCGAGGGGGATCCCTCGGGGGCCTTTGCTGACGTGGACCGACTTAGCGACCTGTCTGGAGCACAGCGAAAACGAACCGGGCAGAGAACGCTTCGTTCTAGTGGAGGCAGCGAGTGTTGGCAGCGGCCGAAATGGTGCATCCGTGCGTGCAGCGCAGCGCGTGCACTCGGTTGAAAAATTGCTAGTCAAAAATGCGAGAGAAAATGCATACATTTCAAGTAAACCGTTTAGTTACAGTAAGAAGTGGGGGCAATCCAGCGGGACGGCTCCCCTTAGAACAGCAAAGTCAGCGGCTGAAGTGCCGCCACATATAGCTATAAATGCGGCGCATAGGAAAGAGAAGCAGAACAAAGTCGGGGATGCCCCAAAACTGAACCGAGCAAACCCGACAACCCTCTTTTGAGGTCGCCTCGAAGTAAGTTGCGTTGTAAATTTGACTCGAATCATGGAGTCTGAGCTTCGTTCCATTTTAGACAGTGCCAGGTTGACGTCATCCCTGGTCACAGGCCCTACATAGACGGCTGCCAACCGGTTGCGCACCAACTTGTACACATGTTATACTTAACTGTACATCCCGATTGCTGTGAGCTCAAGTACGGTAGAGAGCACACGTACAAAAAGGACCTCAAGCTAAGCCGTTTCTCCAACAAGGGTGCACACAATCGATCATAAGCCCCCACGTACGAAGCATGCGCGCCACTGCAGCGCATTGGGCTCGGATTATATACATTTGGCGTAGCTAGGCATTGAAGCATGTCATTGCATACAAGCCGCCCACGTCATGCCATGCACGCAAGAGTTTATAGCGTCAAACGGTTGGAGGACGGAGCCGGGAGAAATCGTCGAGCAACAGTTTAAATGCATTATTGAGCAGCAATGGATAGAGTAGGTAACGAAGCACGATTTATTCAGGACTCAGGAGTCAGGCGAGGTCCGACGACCGTGCGGCGTGTACCCGTCGTAAGTTTCCCGACTCTGGTGCATGACGCAAGTGTGCCCTAACCGCGGTGTGCCCTAAGATAGGCACCCGGGGGACGGGTAGGGTTAGCTTGGTGGTTAAGGTGGGTCGGGGTGCGGAGCGCGGGAAGCTCAAAAGGTTAGGTTTTTTATAGTTTGTTCGGTCGGGGTCTACGGATCTTAGGGCACACTGCTCTTCGGGCACACTATCTAGAGTTACCAGTATGGTACGGGATAGGTACCCCTGTCACGGTGGCCCGCCCCGTGACGTTCGGGCAGATAATTTGCCCAACATATTAGCCTGTTCACAACAGTATCCTGACTTACGTAACCCCGGGGTTACCGCAGAATTGCTACATACGCATCAGAGGCGAATCCAAGCTAGGTAACTCGAGCTATGTAACTAACCGCATGTAGCGCCGGCCTAACTTTTTTTACGCCAAGCCAGGCACTATCCATGTTGTATAAACCGGGAGCTTCTATATCACGACCATCAAACAGCATGCAATTGCCCAGTATGATGAAAATTGTTTCCGGAATTGAAGTAACTTATGCCACTGAGCATGCAGCATTATTCCATAACAGTGAGAAGTGCAAGCACGTCTCACATGAGTGGAGATAGGTTTGAAAAACCGAAAAAGAGAGCAGAGCTGCCAGTGCCAGAATGATGTACTGTAAGCAGCTAGATACTGCACAAATGATCCAATGAAATCTCCATTCTAACGGGGACAAGTCCAGGGGTCTCAGGAGCTTGAATCCTACTCTGCCACAAGGTAACTGACTTAACTGTGTCCTGGCCGTCACTGCTCCTATATGTGCCAAAGCCCCCCAGAACAGCAGACGAGGAGTACGAGGAGGATCACTCTGCAAACATCATGCCATGATACTCAAAAGATGTGCGGCAAAGAAGCATGCAAGGCACGTTAACTTGAAGTTTTTGTCCCAGGTGTATGAGATCACACGAGCACCGGCCGGCCCCCAGGCATACGTATTACCGTACCTACTTCCGAGTCGTACATACCTAGTGCATACCGTACTACAGCTGCTTTGCAAGCTGGCCGGTACCTGCGCTATTCCCGGTACCCTGCATAATTCGCTGCTCAGTGCTGACTCAGAACTCTGTGCTGAGCAGTGAGGATCCCCCCCAATTCTGCCCGGTATGGCCCCGGGCGATTGCGTACCAGCCGCGCCCGTACCCGGGGCGTTGTCTCGGCTGTGCAAATGTCGACATAAGGAAGCCCGTCACCCGACTGTCCGTGTTCACAAAACTTTGCGTGTGCACACTTTCAAAAGGGATCTTACCCGTACTGCCATTCTGATTCGCCCCCAAAGCTCGCGAATAATTATTTTCAAACTTTTTAGGATTTCGCACCAGCCAAACGAGTTTAAATCTATTTTCGTTCTTGCCATTTTTACTGCTAAAATAGCTGTTTTTGGCTTTCAACTTTTCGCACCGGGCACCAAATAATTTTCGGGAATTTTCGCCGAGGCTGAAAATATTTATCTTTAGGCGAATTCACAATGGCAGTACGGGTAGTAGTAGGTATACCGGTAATATCTTTGCAGACAGCCAAAGCCAGAATCCATTGAAAGTGTGCACACGCAAGATTTTGAACACCCCATGCATTAAATGCATGATGCAGGGCCTAGACTCCTGAGCCCTGTGCCTGAGCCCACACTGCACAGGCCCCAATCGAACAGACTGCTAGACGAAAGAGGGCAGTAGGTATTCGAATCAAGGCAAGTCAAATCTGGACAAAGAAGTCATACGCGCATTTAGGTAGGTAGTTTGAACGCCTCGGCCATGGGATACTTGGCAATACTCCTCGCAACATGGCTTCCTCCCCGCCCTGCCGTCTGCAAGCGCTACGAGGGCTGGCCCTCGTGACACTCCTAGTCCTGCAGCTAGGGCAAACCGCATCCGCATTGAACTCGCGGATAGCGTCCGTGGCAAGCTCCAGGCGGTTGCTGCAGGCAGGCGCAGGGCCCAATCGTGAGCACCTTCGCTTTCGAGACTTTTCCAGGCCGTACTTGCTAGTTTGTCAAGTAGAAAGGTGGACTCCAACATAGTCCCAGCATTGCTTCTGGTCAATGTGCATTCCAAATGCGTTTCTTGGTTCATATATATAAGAATGAGTGGCGTCCTGATTGCTGCTAGGTTTGATAAGTAGCTTTCTGAAGGCCCTCCGCTCGTGTGAACGACAAAGAGTATTTTGGATTAAGAAAGCTGGCGAGCAGGTCCCCCAATACTTGCATGCCACAACTGCAGTTTCAGCGTCTGCAAAGTTGAGAATTTTGATTTTTTGGGGGTCAGCAGCTTGTGTCTTGAAGTCTCGTCTTTTCCTGTCCAGGCAGTATCTTCGCTATGGAATGTAGATGTGTATGTAAAGGAAGCACAGGAAATGTTAGCATTAGTGATGTGATCATGTCATCACAAATGACCAGGTCTAGGATTATGGTCCTGGTGTTCATTGCATCAGTTATATGCAGAATACAGGAACAGTCTATCGTTCACAACCCGACAAGTTAGATACTTATGTCACCGCTAAAAGAGCTCCAAGGTATTTTGTCAAGGGTCCCCTGACTGGACCAAGTGGAAATGCTTTTAGCAAGGCAGTCTTTCTGTTATCTGAGGAACTCACTTTCATCGCCTCTACTGTGCAGCGCTCTGCCCCGACGCGGCATTTCCAAATCAGGTAACGTCCCGACACACGCTTCAGCAGTTGCATCATTTTTGCTGTCTAGCAAGCAAACTTTGTTGAGAAGCGAGCGCCTCCCCCTCCTCTTTCACAGCCTAATGCCATCCCCACATTTCTGTACCAGTGCTACAATCCTGCCGGCAGCTCGTACGTCGGCTGCCAAGGGTCATGTGGCGCCTCCGTCAACAACCAGGCCACATGCGCTGACGGCATTCAAGGGCCTACAAGCAGCACCCCCCCTGCTTCGACTACTCCAAGCAGCGCCCCCCCTTCCTCCACACCAAGCGCCACCCCCCCTTCTTCTACACCAAGCCCCACCCGCCCCAGTGGCCCCGCTCCTAGTCCTGCACCCGCCCTCCCAAAGCCAACACCGGCAGGTGATATTGGTCGCTTTGTTTGACCAGTGCTTTCCCTGATTGAGGATCAGGCATAAAGCCACTCTGTACCTGAGGGATAGCTTGTTTTGGACAGCTGCAGGCAGGTTCATATCTTCCACAAACGTGGACAAATTTAACCAGAGCGGAACTGAGATGTACATTTGAGCAAGGAAGGAGCAGCCACCTGTGCATTGTATTGCGATTGTCTGAGAAAACCCGTTTGAGTGAGCTGGGAGTACGGATCATGATTGAGGAGATGCTTCACCAGTGGTCAGGTAGAAGAGAGCTCCTTGAAGCAGGCCCCATTCACTGCGCATTGAATGTGTCGTTCCCTTTTTCAGAGAAGCCACCTTTGCCAAAGTAGGCCCCCTTATCTGCAGGTGGTGCGCCAAACTGTCCTTCAGGCCCTTTCCGGAACGCATGCTTCACTCCAAGCGGGGACGCCTACCTTTGCTGCTCGAGTGCTGGGTGCGGTCCTTCCAACCAAGCCAGCAATACTGCCTCCTGCGCTGACAACAAGTACCTTCCCATTGTCCCTGCAATCTATACCTTTGGTGAGACTTGACTTCTGCGACTTGACAGTCAAGAGCCACACCTTTCTGGAAGTGAACTTTGAAAAGGACATGAACTTTTCCGAAGGAAGATGTCAGAAAATGCTTTGGAAGGGGCAACCTTAATGCCTCTCTTTGTATGATTAGCCAGGCCTTTCTATGTCACGCATCAAACACGTACCACAGCTGATAAGCTTCTAAGGGCCAGGCTTGCTACTTAGTCTCTGAGTCTGCTGGAACGAAGTAGATTAGAGGCACACTTTCTTTATTATCTTCCTGGAATGCGGATCTGGTTTGCCTACGAGTGGAGGAAGTTCTTCCAAGCCTCCATCTTTGCCTCGCACAACGCCATGCCTTGTACCAGCAAGGGCAGTCTCAGGAAAGCCAGGTTACTCCTTGATCAGCGGGTTGTCCATGTGTTCCATGCTTTGGCGGGAAGGTAGTGGCTTGGGCTGATTAATTCTTCTTAACTTCGACCAATTTTGATTGGAATGCATGTCACACTTGAGTCTTTCAAGTTAGGTTTCGAGATTGTCTCGTCTTATAGTGCTGGCCTTGCTTTCAAGTTGCTTGCTGGCTTGAGTTTGAACAGTAGCTCGACACGAATTAGTTCAACCTCCTGTCCACAATCATCAGATTCCACCGTGACCTTTGGTTCAGATTGGTAGCGTAGAAGGATGAACAGAAGTCTTAAGGAAGTAGAACGCTGAGAAACAGACTTTGCAGCAGCCGTTGCTTGACAAAAAATGTCGCGCTGTAAGTGATCCACAGCTGACCACTCTTTCATCGGTGGAATCGACCTCACACGGAGCACAACGGGCTAACCAATTCTTTTCCGTGTGCAGGGGACTCTTTGGTGGACGTAGGCAATGGCCCGTATCTTGGCAATGGGGATGGCCTCCCCTTCCCCCCAAGCCCGCCTTATTTCCCGTAAGCTGGCCCCACAATGATTGATATCAAAACACATGTCGTAGCTTCTAGCAGGTTCGGAAGGCTTCTAGCTCTGCCTTGACGTAAAATAGAACTCTGTGTCACTTCATCGATTCCTTCTGGATGAGGATGATGGAGGGTGGTCATTTCCGAGCTTAAAAGACCGGCTCTACTACATGCCGCAAACGAATTCGAAGCCGCTGGCAAAGGGGTAAGAGCAGGGAGGCACTGTGCTCAAATCCACGTCCCACTTGCTCAATGGCACAGAACAAAGGAACCCTTAAACGCTTGGCATACTTAAGGAAAGGCTCCGCAGCAGAATAGCCAGAAGTTTGGGGCTCCGCCTCAAAAATGTATGCACAGGAGGCCGACAAGTATCCACTTCTCTTTCCTCTGCAGAGGAAACTCCTATTTACTAGGTAGGATAGTTCCGGTTAAAAATCGACAGCTACTGGGGTATAGGGTAATCTAAATCTTGTACCGCTCCGCAGCCGTACCCTTCCTAAACCCAAATCAACCCCACCCGTTCCCCTGGCCATGACCATATCCTACATAGCTCTTTGCACAGGAGAAAAGCACATCTAACCAGGCTTGGGTTAGATTCTCTTCTACCGGTTAATGCTGGTCAGATGGTCAAGAACGCGCCATGTAGCGAGGTTTGGTTAGGAGCGAAACAGTCCTGTTATGCTGCCTAGTAAACTACAGACCTATTTGCAGGAACCGCTTCTCAAATGGCCCCGTCGTGGTGGACTACATATCCGAGTACCTAGGCCTACCGTTCGTTCCCCCCTTCTTGCAACCAGGCGCGAACTTTTTCCGGGGGGCCAACTTCGCCACACAGAGCAGCGGCGCACTCAACACGACTGGCCCCCCCGGAAGGGTGCTCCCGTTGGCTGCACAGGTGAAAAGAGATTCCGATGCTCGGGGCCGTTGATTCTGTCCCCATCATTTCTACTTTTGTTGGCTTCGCTTTGACACCGCCTTGTAAAGAATACCGCAGAGAGTGTTGCTTCCCATGCTTGATGCTTGATGTATCTCCGTTCTATGAACAATAAACTGTGTGCATAGTAAGGTCTTTGTACCAGGCAAAGACCACTTAAAGGCCTAACCCAAACATTCACGCGTGTCACACCCAAACCGACCCTGAGTACCTCCAGGTTAACCCCTCCCGTCCCCTTCGCTTATCTTTCATAGAATCAAAACCTTCTCAAGGCCTGTGAGTGCGCCCGGGTTATAGCAGGATGGATCACGCCTGTGTTAGTTTTCTGCTTTGGACACAGAGGAGCTATTGAATAAGCAGGCTTTGGCGAATCCTACAGAGACCAGCCCTGATTTGGCGGCAGCTATTGCACTCTGACGAAGCCAACGAGTCGTCTGCTGTCGTCTGCTCAGGTCGGCAGGCTCTTCCTCGAGTTGAGAGCCAACGCCGCGGCTTTCTACGCAACGCCGGGCGCACCGTCAAATCCAAACCCACCCTTCCCCCCGCCGTCCTCGTTCCCCGCCTCCCTGTACGTCATTGTCACGGGCGGAAACGACTTCGGCGACTTCGCCGGCAACGCGACGCAGTTCCAGGCGCTGGCGACTGCTTACGTCACCCAGATTGCCGCGAACATCCAGGGTGCGCCGGGGCTGCCAGAGACGTCCTGTCTAACGTGTTGTCTGAGCACTTCGCATCTTTCTCCCTCTCTGCATCTTTCAGAGAGCATCTCATCTCTGAGCATCTCTCGCCCCATCTTGCATCTCTTTCTCGCATCTCTGTCTGAGCATCTCTTCGTCTCGAGCAACTCTCGCATCTAAGTTTTGACTGTCGCTTGTTCGTCTTGTGTGCTTCTATATCGTTCGGGTTTGAGAGAAAAGTTTTGGAGTCATGCAGCCCTTTGTTTCGTTTGCTAGCTGTGCGTTCCGATCATGACCGAGTGTGGCTGCTTTGCGCCTCCCTTGTGTGTGAGGGAGCACAAAAGCAAGCACTCACCCAGTCTAAACGGCCTGGAGGGCCCTGTTTCTAGTTCGCTGCACTGTTTCCAGTCTGTGAAAATGCACGTTCGCTTTTTGCAGTCCGATTCCTCGTACAGCTCGCCTCAAATGAAAGTATCATTTGGCAAATTCGTCGTTGTCTGTGAGCGGCACTTCCTTAGTTGCCCTCACGAAGTTGCATCTGCCACCCCTGCTTCAAGCCCTTGTTTTGGCTTTCTCCGTGCCTTTCTTCGTACAACATTCTTTGGGGTCTGCCTAGTTGGGTAAGTTTCTCGTTGCCGCACATCGCAATACGCACTAATACATGCACTAATACTTTCTGGTGGGCTCCAAAAGAGCTGAATCGGACACGCTTGTCTACACCGTCTCCAGTCCTTTTCAAGATTGCGCTTGACTGGTCAAAGTCACACTTCGATGCGAATTGCAGATGGTGTTTTTGCCGAAACGTCAGAACATCTTTTGGAACTTGATCCATCAAAGCAAACATCTCTTCCAGCTTCCGTTCCGACCGAGCGAACGTTCTTGTTGGCCGCTGGTGATGCCCGAGCTGCCAATAACGTGCTGAACGATGCACGAAGCCGATTTCCGGCCCAATCAGAAGCTAACCCTTTCCTCTCGGCAGACCCTCTACCTGGCTGGCGCGCGCGTGTTCCTCGTCAGCAACCTCGCCCCGCTCGGCTGCCTCCCGACCGTCCGCAATTTGTCTCCGGACGCCAGCTGCAACGTCCAGGTCAATCTGGCAATCGCGGGCGTTAATGCCGCCCTCAAGAGCGCTCTGGCTCAGCTGCGGGGGGCTCTACCGGGGGTCACCATTCTGGAGCTCGACTTGTTTGCTGTACTGGCAACGCCGCTGAACGTGCCCGGTAGGCTGCCCCGACCACTCTTTCCTGGCCCGTCAAAATTTTCCCTTTGAAATCTTTGTTTATCTCCCTCGCAGAAGGATGCTTGATGGAAGCGATGAATCCTACGCAGGTCGGACAAGGTGCTGCAAAGTGTTCCTCGATCTTTGAGCGATTTACTTGGTCTGTGCACGACTAGCTAGGTGCAAATAAACGAACAAAGTGCACGCCGTGCCGGATCCCAAGCTCTCCAACCGTATTGAAAGAAAGTCTTGGAAGCGCGTTGCTTTCCGTCACATCAAGCAGTACCCGTGCGGTTCTTCGCGTTTGCGTCGGACGTGCCTTGCATCCTTGGGCCTCTTATCTCCACCGTCTGGCCGTGGGTTTCATTTTTCTTCTGGTCGCTCTGAGCCCCAAGTCTCTTCTTAGAAAGCCTGCGCAATCAGCTAGGAATCGTTTTTCCGATTCATTGCAGGCGTCACCAATTTCGGCCAAGCGTGCTGCGGGGCGGGCGGCCCCGCCAATACCGCAATCTTCTGCGCTTTCCCCGGGTTCACGCTTTGCTCCAACCCCGAAAACTACTTCTTCTTCGACGGCCTCCACGGGACGACTCAAGTGGCTGCGGCGGTTGCGAACGAGGTCATCAACGGGAACTCCTTTGTTGCGCCGTCGAATCTGTATCAGACGCTGGTGGCGCCGAAACTAGGCGGCAAGTGATGTATCTATCGGCGTCTTAGAGAGCAAGCAATAATGAGGCCCACGAGTGCCGTACTTTCGATTTTGTCAAAGCTGCAAATCCAACTAGAACATAAGAGCTGAGAGAGAGGGTTCCGGACGCCCAAGTTGCTTTTGAGGGTTGGGTCAACTGTTATGCAGGAGTTCCTCTTGGCATCAATGGATTATCATAATCTTTGAGCTGGGACATGGTCAAGAGTGCAGCACTTTACTGATATTGCCTGTAGCTAGTAGTTTCCTCGCCAGTAGTGGATAGGAAAAGACAAGTAGCACAAATTCGGGCTACGCCGAAGACAAGTCGGACATCCTCCTACATCCATCTTTCAGCCAGTATCAGCAACTAGCACGTACACTCTAGCGTTTTACCAAAATTCTTGTGATCTTACTGCACGCAATTACGACAGAGGCAGATCAAACCCAGTGCTCGGTACGATTGGGTCTCTAGCCAGATTCATCAAAAAGGTCATGCAGGCCTTTTTTATCTCCTTCCCAGACATCATCATGGGCCCGCAACCTCCTTGAATGGGCTATTAAGTCGTTCCGTCTTTGAGCGCTTCGGCACACCAGAGTGTGGCGAGCACGATGATTATGGAATCAAACATAACATGTCCTTGCGCGAATATATACACAGGGAACTTTCGCCGCTAACCAGACTCTCTAACCAGGCCCTAACCAGACATGGTTAGCTCGCTAACCATACTTTGGATGCTTAACCAGACTCACCCACCGCCTGGTTACGGCTAACCAGGGTCTGGTCGGGAGTAGCCAGAGACTGGTGTCTCGTAATCAGAAACTGCTTACACGCGACCAGGTCTACAAGGACCCTGGTTAATGGAACCAGAGTCTGGTTACAAGTAACCAGGTTATGGTTGCGGGTTAACCGACAGCCACTATCTGGTCGAGGACAAACGGGCCCTCAACCAGGATCCGGTTTCTCGTTGCACGATTGCAACCAATCTCCGGTGCGGACTTACCAGCCTGAAGGGCATGTGCTTGGTCCAAGTGGTGTCGGACCGACCGCGCTGCGCTTCGACCGGGCTGTTCGGACAGCCGGGGGCACGAGCGGGGCACGAGCCGGCCGGGGAAGCAGGGGAGTTGCTAGTCGTTGGCCGCCTTGGTGAACGTACTGGTCGGAGGCATGGGCCCTCAGGTGAACGCACTCGTGCCCGGGGGCTAATTGGCAGCTAGCAGGGTGGTTCTGCCTCTGCTCGAGGGATGCGGGGTCGTTGAAAAGGACCACGCTCTAAGCTCACACCATGGTAGTCACTTCTGTTGATCAAGACACATAAGAGCAACGAGTAAGATAGGACTCGAGACATATTGTACTGTGATCTTCAGTTCTTGTCTGACACGCTCTTGGCAGGAGAAAGTCTGCACAAGTTTTGAACGCACACGATCGTCGTGGTCCGGAAAGTGATCAATCTTATCGAGTCCCCCTTGCAGGGCCTGTTCCGAGCCCCTCAAGACGAGTCACAAGACGCCGAAGCACGGTCTGATCTACCACGCCTCGTTCATTGAGCAGGCTCCGCCCAAGTACAAGGGCAGATTCTCGTATCTTCGCGGCCAAGTGTATGCTGTCCATTAGGGTGGATGCGCTGGGGGAGTCGGCCGATGCCACGATTGGGATGGAGAACAGGTGAGGGGTCTTTTCATTCTGGGTCAGTTTCACCAACTTGCTTAGATCGTCAGCCACGGATCAGCACTCCGGTTGTGTCAAGTCAAGGCGTCCGTTGCGAAGTGATTCAGTGGCAGGAAGCGGTTCGCACAGCCAGTGCCGATGGATCGTGTGAGTTCGGCCCGAAAATACACCACGTACTTAAGAATCTGCTACTGTTCAAGGTCCGTTCAGCCCCGTTGAAATCGCGATGAGGTCGAGAGCGCCAAAAGGTGGTCTATTGTGTGCTCCTGTGCGTTCGGCTCGGGCAAAGCCATTCTTCTTCTCAAAGTTCTTTGAGAAGGAGACGGAGAATCGAAGAAGTACATTCCGAAGATTAATTTCTGAAGGGGAAGAGAGTTGGAGAAAACTTCATGCCTTCGTCTCCTCAGGCATAAGCTTGGTGGAATCGACGGTTGCGGCAGCTGAAGGGCAAGGCTGACGGACGGTGGACTATTGGGAACAACTAGTCCGCCTCCAAGTACGATGCCATCATGCCAAGAGGAAGCCTGGCGCAGAGCGCTCCTGACGGCAGCAAAGGTCAGCGTGACGTCGTCACCTCGTTGGGATCTGCCTGCATCTTTCTGAAGACTGTGCCCGGGTTCCGTCGTGAGGCGGAACGTAGGGTTGTCCGAAGCTTGCTTTCTCTTTTGATATCCTGCCAGGAGTGGAACAGCCACTTCCTCTATTGACTTCCTGCAGAGGTTGGGAAGTATGGAAAGAAAAGAGCGCCAGGTCCCCAGCAGATGCTGGCGTCTATCTAAAATTTTCAAATTGCATTCCCCCCCGACTCAAAGATCTGGTTGCTCAAGCAAGTAAGATGCCGTCGAGGTGAGCACTTATGATTCTCAAAGCCGCAAGCATGAATTCAACGGTCCCAGCAAATGGACTGCCAAACTTTGCCTCCGGCCCATCCGGCCCAGGAGTTATAAGGATTATAACCCTGACACATTTGTTCTGCTCTTTCTGTTGTGATCAGTTTTACAGCCGCCTGTCGTGTGTCGTTCACCTTTCCACTCAATCTGTTTGCCACTTAGAGGGGACTGCTAGGCTTTTGTGAGTCGTTCCTCTTCTGAGTAAGCACTATATACTCGTAGCTACGGTTCCGCCCGTTTCGTTTGCGTAGGTATGTCGAGGTCAGAACTCGGCGGCGTTTCGTTTGAGATTGAGGTCAGAAGTTGGTAGACATACCAGAGCCAATCCAAATGCTGCCTCTCAGATTCATGGTCAACAAAATAAGCGGGCCTTTTGCCCTTCTTTTGCAGATTCAAAAGGCAGAACCTATCAACCATTTGATCAGATATTTGTACTATAACGAGTGTATCGAAGTGCTTGTTCTTATGCTCTGATTGCCCGTTGTGTAGATCAAAGGGAGTCAACGAAGAGCTCCATGCTGAGATCCAGAAACAGAAGGGCAAGCTGATTCATTCGACTCGCACGATTTGGCCACCGCAATGAAGGTGAGATGCAGCGACTCCAACTACTTTTACCGTTGAGCTATACATATAGAGTAGAAGCAACAGCCACAGAATCCAGGTGCTTAAAACAGTGCCAGCCGAACGGACAAACGAACGTTTTCAACGGCATGTCTCCATGCCTATTCACAGGGCGTTTCTGCAGTCAACCGGGCCT